CAACTTAGGCAACCTATAAAAATCCAGTTGCTCCTGTATGTATTCTGTGATGCTGATAAGCTGGTCAAGGACCTCTCCCTACAATATTGCAGCATTAATAAAAGTCTGTTTGGATTACAACTTTGCCCTGAATTGGACTGGAATTTCCAGAAACTTAATGTTTTTCCATCCACCATAATAACATTACAATTGTTCTGGTCCAGTTAGGACATTTTTATTTGCTCAGGCATTTTTTGATATTAGCTCTGCATACATTATACTTTCATAACTTCATTGCCTCTCCATGGTTTGCATTATCACGATGAAAATTCTGTACAGTCTGTATGTCTGTTTTATTGGACAGTATCCAATGCTGCATCTGCCATCATGGGGCCCACAATTGCTGTAAAAGATCCTGCAGTGATTGGAAGTGAGCCCAAACTCTTATTTCCAGAATGGGGCAGGTGAACAAAGCCTGCAGGAAAGAGCTCTACTGACCTGTCCCATCCAAGGAAACAGGTGTTACTGCTGGTTTCGCAATTGCTAGGTGGGTCCCACTAGCCCTAAAGAACAGCAGAAGCACAGCAGCAGTACAGTACTGCCCACAGTATACTTTATTTGGTATTAAAAATGTTTTTAATACCACCTTAGAATCTATTTGGATGAAGCATAATAAAAAATTATTTTAAATAAATAACATACTGGGTTGAACATCTGGCTGCCAGAGTGATCTCTCAGTCTAACCGACCTCGTAACTTAGCTATGTGGATAAAAGAGGGCAGACAATCTATGTATAACATCTTGAGTAATTTGGACAAAAGTGGGGATAATCAATGCGGTAAAACCAAAGTAAAATTCAAGGATAAAACCAGAAGAATTGTGCCTGGTGGGAGAGGGAAACAAATTGTAGCACTTTCAATGGCATCCTGGCCAAAAAAAAAAAAAAAATCTTCATGGGGCTTGTCAAATAATCAGATGCTTCATGGAAGCATCCCTAGGAAGGGCACCCCATGTACAAGCAGGAAAAATCAAGAAGGAACCAAATACCTAACTCTAGAACATGTGGATACTCTGAGCAGGGCTTCTAATTTGCAAAGTTCTGATAGGATCATGTGGTCCCACAGAAAGCAGACATTCATTCTGCTCCATCTCAATATGTCCTAAATATAGCATCGCCTATCTGCTCCATTGAGAACTGAGGCTACCCTAATGTACACAGACTTCCATTTTGAAAACCAAAAAATAGCATATGTATGTACCTTTGGATGATAAATAGAAATAAGGTGCTAGGAGAGGTATTATACTGCAGGTACCAGATATATTATATTATTTCATTTTTATACCTCCAGAGAGCTGGGGCTCTATGATGGTTAACACAGATAAGGAAAAAAGTGTGAATTTATCTACACAAATAACACAGCTGTGCTCCCTTCTATGTAGTCCCTTTTGGTGGATTTTAGGACAACTGAGTGAGAGTCGTTGAGTATTTGCTTCAGCTGCAACTTCAAGTTTTAATTTTTAAATTAATAAATGGAAGCCAGCGCTTATGCCCCCTTGTGGCAAGGACCTGCAATTATACTCCAAAATGTGGCAAATCTGATGTTCTTACAACACTGGCGATATGAAGAAAATATGCACCACACAAAACTAGTGGGCAGAAGTTAATTTGTAGTGTTTCTAGTATTGACAATGATTGCCATAACTGGACCTTTACTTGTGTAAAAGTCCACAATACCTTGAAAGTATTTTTAAACATTTGTTTCAATTCATTATTTTGTTTTCCCATAATAAAAAGCTCTATTTGTAGAATTACACCTACTCTTCTCTACCACTCTTGAATACAGATGCATTTTCTATCACATTCATAGACTTGGCAAGAGAACTCTGGAAAATCTGAACAGTTATACATATTATTGTTAAAGGAACAGTACTAGTAAGGGACAATCATAGACTCAATTCCCTGCCCAAACCATATTCAAAGAAGTCCAATATTTGTGGCTACAATTTTAGTTTGTCCTATTGACTTCAAGGGGACAAATCTACAAACTCTACCTTAATTAGCTGTAGTATTGGATTGCTAAAACTATGGCTGGCTGCCCTGTGTGAACTTACATTTCAGCAGGTTGTTTCAGAAGGCTTCAAATACAGTTCAGAAAAATGGTTTAAAAACTTCCGACATGCTAGAGTTGCAAAGGAATTTGAGACTCAAAGAGGGACTGGGTTAAGGAGGACGCTAACAAACAACCCAAAAACTGAGAAAAACAACCTTGTCTGATTGTCTACCAGATGAATCTCAGATAGGGTAACAAACTATGGGTCAAATGAACCATGAGACATTGTTATGTATAAACTAGGCCCATGTCTGTCCAGTCCAACTAGACTAACATCACTTCCACAATGCATCCCCTGGAAATAGCCATCCAGTGGATTTATACTACGTTGACTTGAAGCAAGAACAGTTAGGATCACAATTTGCAACAGACAAAAAGTTGACGTATTACCTTTTCAAATAGCGACAGACACAAAAATTACAGCACAACTGAAACATTTGCTATTTGATGGCTGGGCGAAAACTATCTCTTGCAGAATGCTATACTATATTTTATCATAATTATTTTCCCCAAAACATACTTTGAACTTTCATTAAAATATAAGTGAAGCAATGTACTGTGTTGCTTTGAGAAATTATATAATGCAAGCAAGTACAAGAAACTGGTTTTCTTTATGAAACTGTATTATGCTTATATGCACAAGATCACCTGCTGAACATTTTCACTTTGTTTGTATTCTAATAATAATAGACACCTAATTTATTTTATGCATCACTTTTAGAGTGTAAAGTGGTTTTCAATCAATCACATCCTTCCATAAACAAGCACCTTGTTACTACCATAAATATAGCAATTTGACCTAAGATCTCTCAAACATAATTCTCCTGGGTCCACCTACTCTGAACTGCCCCAGATTTGACTTTGAAAAGTTGGGAAGCATCACAGAAGCCCTTCTGTTTGCAGAAGGAGCTACAGTCGGGCAGCAGCCCTGACAAACTGAAAGAAGAAAGTGGTGATTGTTGCAGATTTCCCCCAATTTTTTTAAAGTACATATGCCCCACTCTTCAGACTAAAGATTCTGAAAGCAGCTTTTAACAATCAACGATCCCTGGCTAACTCACAATCTAAGGACAGAAGGAAAGGGACTGAGAGTTGAAGGCAGGTGGTAAAGGTGATGTTGGTGCTTGATTCAGTTGCTAAGATGGTTGGAAACATATCAATTGCACTCGGGTTTGCACAACATCTATCTATCTAGATCAGCCCATTCCCCCTTTTCCCATGTAGCCTTCTGCAGCACCTCGACCAAGGGGGTATTCAGTGAAAGTTGACTTTTTACTTTGTGTACATGGCTGAGTTCTAGATTCCATCCATTAGTCATATTTTTCTGTACACATCATCATTTTTGACCCCATTAGTGACATGGAAGCTGCTACTGCACAGCTCTGTCATGTACCATATAAAGGAGGCCTCTAAGACAACTTTGTTTTATGGATGATCCTGACTGCATATTGTAGACAAATACACTATTATGAGGAGATGAGACCAATCCATGACACTCAGAATGCAACTTGAACTATTAGTTGCTGAACTAAAACTAGATAGACTATTAATTTCCTGAAGCCTATGGAATGATCAGTCTTAACTAGGAATGCTGCCAAGTTTCAGCCAAAACTGCAGTTTGGTGGCAGATTTGGGTATACAGTCAAGGTTTGGACCATGGCAGATTTTTTTTTAAATGTTACTTTGTGACCCATCTGATTTTAGACCCTAAGAACTGGTGTCCAAGCTTACTTTTTCTTTCTATGGCCTTTCCTGCTGAGTATTATAACTTTTCAGATGAAAGACTAAGAAGTAAGATTGTGTTTTCACTGGTATTTGTAAACCTCTCTTAAGAGCCTTTTTGGCTAAAGGGAAGTGCTTTTGCAGGGGTGGGAAGAATGCTTTTAATAAATACAGTAAAACAAGACTGCGATCCTATACTTGCTTACAACTCAGTTCAATGAAGCTCATTTCTAAACAGGCATGCACAGGACTGCGCTGTAACAAGCTCAGCTGGTGTTTCATGACCCTGAAAGCACTGTGCAAGGCAAGAAGTGGTACTGACACAGGCCCTCTGCACTGCCACTATTTCTGCACTGACCCCGTGGGAAGAGTAGCTATAGGCAGGCAGGTCTCCATCAACATGGTCTAGGCTACAACTTGCCTAGGATCCTCTAAGCATTGGCATGTGTTGATAATGTCACCAGGATACATCAAGCGGATTATAGCAACATAACCAACAGACTCTGCCAGGTTATATTCAATTCTGGAACCATGTTCCAATTTAATTGGACTTGTTCCAGAAGAGAATGATTGGAGTTTGCCAGTTCCTAAGATATACACATATTTGTTTCTTTCAGTAATACAATTCGGTTCAAAATTCAGGAAAGATAGGACCGGGATGCTACAGGACATTTCAATACACAAGGCCCAAGGTTCCAAAATAGTATGCAGTATGTAAGAAGCGTATGACAGAGATCATGTTCTTTGATATAGCTGGTGTTCTTGAATACTCTTTGTGTAACACAGGAACACAAGAAGCTACCTTATGCCAAATCAGGCCCTTGGTTCCTCTAGCCCAGTTCTGTCAACACCGACTGGCAACAGTTCTTCAGGATTTCAGGCAAGAGCTTTTCCAGTCCTAACTGGGGGTGCCAGGAATGCAGAGCATGCTCTGCCCCTGAGCTGTGATCTGTTCTCATATCAGAGGGTGCAGAGACAGCATGATGCCCTCTCAGTACCAAGCATGCAGGCAGGTTATTGGATGAATTGTGACAACCACATTAAAAAAAGGCAGTGTGTTACATCTCCATCAAGAGTACAAGGATGCACTTTCACAGGACAAGTGCAACTGTTCTAAATGAGAGCATAAAACATGAAAACTGGAGCACGCAGGTTACTCCGGTTAACTGCAGACTTCAACCAACTTACCTTTCCAAGTGAACAGTAATGAGAGGAGTACACATGTTTGCAGTAACACCCAGGTCCACAACAGCTTGATGAAGCTGATTCACCGTTTCAACTTCACCTCGCAAGGCTGCTCCATTGAGGATGTGGAAAAGGGATGCGACTGTTGTAGCTGTAATGTGGACATCCTTCTCTTTCATCTCTTTTAAAATGTTAATAGCATCTACAATGAACCACCACAAAAGACCCTAAGGTAATTTTATGTACAGAGAAAACAAACTGCTATTAAAACAGCATTTCAAAAACCAGCAGGAATGTAAATTCTGGTGTATAATGCCAATTTCAAGTTAATTACTACTTGCATTTCTAAACGAGACTACAATTATGAATCCACAATAGCATGGTTTTATCATTTTGCTGCAACTTTGACTACAAATTACAGATAGGAACTGTGTGCCCACTCTGCACCACGTAACCCTGTAGAGTCTGCCCTATAGCAACAAGATCCTACTAAATGGATGCTTTTATCGTTCAGTGCTAACATCTGCTAAATCACACCATTGTTTCTTCAGCAGATGGCTTGTCACGAGGCCAGATAATAAAGATGTGTTTACACTGTATATACAGCCAGACTAATGGTCTGATACCGATAGGGCCTGTTTGCTGTGTCGATACTAATTAGCCAAGGAGAGCCAATGAAAGCTTTCTAAGAGAGTGCATGTTAAAACATTAGGTTCATTAAGCTTCATTAGGAAGGCAGAAACAAACATTTTGGTATATAGAATAAGAGCATTTTTTGTAATGTTCTTAATTATTGCACAGGCAAAATGTTTTGACCACTTTACATAAAAGCAGGCTCATCTTTTGAAACTGCCCGCAGCAGCATGCTGTGAGCTTCAGAAAAATCAACACAATATTACCTTTTCAACACATGGGTAGCCATGATCTCATTTTATCATCTTTTGGAGGAAAAGCTCACAGTCCAAATTTAGATCACACACTTTCAATTAAAGGAATTAAGTATAAATCTTTTTGTTTAATAGAGTGCCATCTTATACTAGCCCAATAAATGTCAAACTACTATATTTTAATTAACAATGGCAACAGCCTACAGTTTACTAACTTCACCTATTATGAAAGCCATACCTTTACCAGCAGTAGATTTTAAATGCAATTTCACCATTACCAAATATGATGTATAGAACTGGTGAATTAATTCAACAAAATGGTTGCACTTTTGGTTTTAAATTGCCATGTTAATAACATACAGTAGAGAAATTGAAGATTTTAATATTGCAAGGTATTTATTAAAAAGTTACAGGCTGTTTTGGTTTTTTTTCCTCCTGGAGTGCTTAGACCCTTTACAAGGAGGTTACATTTATAGGCTTTATGCTCAGACTTCAGACCTTCTTAAGCAAAAACAAAGCCATTAGTCTAGGCACATACGCAATTTGTGCCATAAGTCATGATCTTCAAACTCAATCCAAACAGCAATGCTAATAAAACTAGCTGCAGAAATGCAAAAAGCACTGAGCTGTGCAAATGTAAATGACAAGCTTGCCAATCCATTAAAACTAATGGCCTACACTGTCCAAGTATCTCTGGTTGAATTCACATGCAAATTTGTATGCAAAATGTTCAAGCACTTTGCAGGACATGATATACCATTAATATCAACTCACATTTTTATTCTGGTGGCAAGATACCTTTATTATATAGCAGACATATACACTGAAAGCAAGAGCACTTACCTTCCAGTCTACCATGTTTCCCCAAAACTTTCACCAAGGCCAAGTATTTCTCTGTACTGAGAGCAAGAGATGAATCTTTACGGCAGCTAGAAAACATTAAAAAAAAACCTCCATAAACTCTTTTGCTGCTATTCTTGAATCTCACAACTTTATCTTATACATGTCTACTCAGAATTAAGTCATAATGTATGCAATGAGGTTTACTCCCCCATAATTGTGGGCAGGACTGCTGTTTAAATTTATTTCTCATATATCACTGAGAAGAATGCGCTTCTGCTGAGGTGGATCCACAGTTGCCTAAGTGGGAAAAGTGTGGGGAACTGTAATGGGGGCACAGTAACAGTGAAAATCAGAGGAAAAGTCTTCACTACTTAGGACAGATACAAGAGGGTAAAAATATAGCTAAAGGAAAGTAGGTAAAAGAGCCAGTGTGGTATAGTGGTTAAGAGCATGGGACTGGGACTCAGACGGATCTGGGTTCTAGTCCCCGCTCAGCCATGGAGCCAACTAGGCGACTTTGGGCCAGTCACAGACTCTCAGCCCAAACTACCTCACAGAGTTGTTGTTGTGGGGATAAGATGGAGGAGGAGAATGATGCAAGCTGCCTTGAGCCCTTTGTAGGAAAAAGGCAGGATATAAATCGAAATAATAAATAAATAAATAAAGGTAGTTTTCAAAAAATTGAGTAAAGCTTCAAACATTGAAAATGGGTGGATCTAAACTGAGTTGGCACTTGGATCCCAGTGATTTTATCATCATCATCAGCAGCAGCAGCATCTCTATACCACTCCACATGACTTATGTTTTGCTCATTTCAATTGTTCATTATAATTAATATTCCTATTCTCACATATGTGGAAAGAAGCCTCACTGAAGTTACTTCAATCAACTATTTAAGAGGAGACAGTTTTATCAATATTGTGTTGTTCGTCTATAGCCAACCCAGTGACAACTGCCCTTGGAAACTATCTCACAGCTTCCATGTCATGCTGCTTCCCCTTCTCCCTCTTTTAAACAGAATATAATTTCCCCAATTCACAATTTTTTCCAAAGAAAATGACTAATTGGAATCACTTTGCATTTGTGTTAATGTATTTTGCGTAAGTTACATTCTAAACTAAGACACAGAATAACTAATTATGTCATAAAATATTATGTCATAAAATAACAGTAATGAAGTGCATATAAATAGAATGTTAAACTAAGGAAAAGCGTATTTGCAAAGGTTGTAAAACAGGTCATCTCATATTACTCTAAGGTCCAGGTGTACTGTATCATTTAGCCTTCTGTGATGGTGAGAGTGGTTTTGAAGTGATTCTTTCAGGCTAATCTGAACCATTCACTTGCAGGTAATCTTGTGAGCTCAAAGAAGACTCAGCAAATGCTCTTCACAGGTCTTCTGTGAACCAGCTGAATGGATGATCACATATAATGAAAAACTACCAAGTATTTGCTCAAGGAACAAATTCTAACATTCAAAGGAATATGTGATGGATGCTACCAGCAGTAACTATCCCAAGATCTGAATTCAGTTGAAATGTTGAAACTGACATTCTAATGGTCAGGAATAGAGAAACAACATTATCAGAGTTTAGGGAATCTTAATTAAAACAGCATCCACCAAATAGGAAAAAAAATGCTTAGGAATGTTCCAGAATTTATTTTAACCTGGGCTAGCAAGACTCATACATAATGCATGTACATAGGGAAATCTCATACAGGGGTGGGGTGGACATGACGCACAAACCTATAGTTCACTCCCATTTGCTAAATGCCATTTAAATGTCAAGCCAACACAATGCCAAAACAGCAGAATGAAATAGCTCCAAATGTACAACCTTTAAAAATACTTAACATTAAAATTAAAGAATGAAAATCAGAGAAGAGAAACAGAGAAAATGAATGTAGTTCATTGCTTGACAAACTGAGCATTACAGGTTTTAGCTGAGAGCTAATTTTCACAACCAAGATATTATCTATGAAAACAGAGACCTTAAAAGTTAATGCTTGCAGACAGGTATTAAAATGTAATGTCACAAGTGCTATAAACCACTGTATTGTGGATATATTACCTCAAAAACTACAACTGAATGCCAAGGTGGTTGCTAAGACTCTATCAGAAATGGATTTATTAAAATACAACATAGAGCAACTCTAACAGATATATGCATTCAAAAGTGATTATGTAATCATGACAACTTGTTACAACCGATCTTGAATTTCTGCAAAATATTTTTATCGGAGAAAAAGCTAATTAAAAATGTATGAGGGGCGCTTAATACTCAACCTACTTAATTCAATAAGGTCTGCATATCAGCATAAATCTCTGTGACATCTTTCAGTGCCGGTGTACTTACAGTTCTTCTTTCAGGTTCATTGCCTCCTCTACATTATCATGTCGACAGCACAAATTTATTAAGGTTGCATAGCCACCAACAACCATGTCCGGTTCATATTTGGCTTTCACTTCAAGGGCTTTTTCCATATTCTAGAAAAAAGCATTAAGTAAAAGGTCTGAACTAGAAAAGTCCACATGACACTTTGTATTCCAACATTTGCTGTGAAACTAGATTTAACTATGTATTCATAGCCTCTGCGCTTCTTGTTAAAAGATCATGCACTTCACATTTGCAAAAGAAAACAGTTATTTTGGAAAGTGACTGCAAGTCATCTAATCTAAACCCTTGTTACATGAATGGTTTATATGTTTTGTGGGCATCTGAGAGATCTGTCTATTTACTATTACAATTCCTTGCTTAAACATGTTAATAGTCATGTTCAGTCAGAACTCCATCATTTTATATTACTTGGGAAGGGTGGGGTAAGAATAGTGAAAGACTTTTAAAGCTAACCAAGCATTTCTACATCTTTTCTAAAAGACTGTTTGCCTATACATCATAATACATCTTTAAAATTCTATAATGGTTCTAATACCTATGAAGGGAAGCCATGTAAAAGCTTCTGCAAACATCATTTGTGTATCAAGTAATGAAAAGAATCCAGACCTATTTATCTACCACAGAATGCAAGCAGCAAGGTTAACTAAATTCTAGTTTGCTATAAAATCATGGACATTATGGCAGCACAACACTAACACAAATTGGACCATAGTCGGAGGCTACACAGCAAATTGCGGACCTACACAAAAATATGAACTACAGCTGGACGCCTGCTGATGAAGGCACGAGCCTCTTTATCTCAGAAAGCTTTTCTCCAGCAGGAAAATGGAATTTCAATCCCCACATTAACCACCTTGTTATATTTGACTTGCAAATGACTATGCATGTATCAGTTGCTTGACAATCTAGATGTAAGAGACCAGAGCCGTGGCTTGAAAGGACATTTGGCATGTATGATAAACCTTTCACAGCTGTTACTATCATTCACTTTGCAGATAACCATTAACAGACAAGAGCAATCCCCAAACATGCCATTCAAGAGGTAAAGGAAATGAGTTGACTTTTTGCTTTAATTGCTTTTTTGTACTTATTATGATTTACAAAGGCCAAAACCAGAAACCACAAAACTTGATACTTTCTTACCCACAAGAAACTCTAATCTGAAAAGAAACTTAAGTATACACAACAGCATTTGCTCACATTTATCTTGGATAAGCTTTACATGTGTCTTTTTTCCCTGCTCCCCTCTCTACATTTAGATGGTGAATTCTCTGGGATAGTGACTTCTTAATTTGGGTTGTTCTGTGAAGTGTTACACACACTTAAACTGATACATAAGGAAAAGACATTACTATTCACTTATATTCCTGAATGCTGACAATCTGATACATAAATCTTTTTAAAGTTACCTCTTCTGAGCATAAAACATATATAAGCTGTTTCAGAACATTTGTAATAGGCTGATTCTCAGCTTTCAGTTGTTCGACTTCCTTTTCCAAATCAGATGCCTGTAATCCAGAGAACTAAGACAGCAGGAGAGGAAGATACAAAAAGAGGGTGTTTCAGAAGGGAAGTTGAAGATGTGCATGTAAGCTAAAATATACTATCTCAGTAAGTCTTTGACGACAATTAAAATATACTGTATTTTTAAAAAAAATCTGTTTCAAAGTTTGCACACACTAGGTACAGAGGGATACCAATCTTCTATCTTTCCCTTCCTCAAGTGTGTAGACTACTATAAACAACAACTCTGATGTGTAAGAACTCTGCAGGAAAGTACAAACCTTACTAAAATGTGATAAGATTGTTCAGGGCTCATATTGCTTAAAAAACCTCCCACACTGGGAGTAATTACCCTGACCCTAGAAGAGTTTTCTACAGGGTTGTTCCATCTCCACTAGTTCGGTTGCACTTGCAAGAATGAATGCTTGCATCGTGGGACTTTTGCACTTCAATGAGTAACTGCAGAAACAGACATTTTGGGATCACGACAGGTCAACAGAGGTCCCTGCTGCAAGTTCTGCTGACCTGATGTGCTCCAGGAATGAGTGAAAAGGCTAGTTTTAAAAGTGTAAAACCAGTGCGCAAAGAGTTGCTCTGCCAATGTGCAGACACAATAGGATAACAGGTACTCAGCACCAGTGTGGGCACACTGATTTGTGCATCTTTCCCTTCCTGTCCAGTGTGGCATAAAAATAGGCCAGAAACCATGTCTGTGAGTAGCATTATTTTTTAAATAGGGAAACAAAGTCACAGCAGACAAGCACCTCTGGTCTCTAAACGAATTGTGGGAAATTCCAGAATAGCACCAAGATATCCTCACCAGCCTATGTTTGCAACTCAGACTCATTTTAGAAAAAGACTGAAGCAGCTTCAACTGCACAGTGAGATGGACACCTTGGAAGCTAAGGATCTCAGCAGTACACAAAAGGTATTTTATTAACAAGGAATATACATAGTTGTTAGTGTACATACTTTTGATAATGCTCCTTGTGATAGCTTTTCTCTGTCAGTCAATAAAATCACATCCTAAAATACAAAATATGTGTAAGAATATGAATGCTAATACATACACACACACACATGCATTCATATATGAATGAGATAAATTAGTTATAAAAATTGAACACATGCATGTTTTAGGTTGTTAAGACACAGGAGTTTTCTTGCTACCCACTTTCCCTTTATATAGAGCTTAAAATTAAATTAAAAGGTAGCATTAAGGTGTTTTCATAGATTAGAAATATTTATTTTAAGGTAACTGTATCTTTAAAGAAGCATATACATGGATTTCATATTCATAAAAAGAATATTAAATTACCACTACAGACCTTAATTAATTCAGGAACATGGTAGCTGTCCAGTAGGTTGCGGATACCTCTGAAGATGTTAGGAGGGATTACTATATTCTATACCAAGAGGTGGAGAAAATTACATGAGTTTTAAAAACACAATCTAACTGAGATAATTTCTGTTAGACAAATTTCAGATATAATTTAAGTCTCCAGCACTTGCATGTCATTGAGAAGTGGTCTGGTTGTACTTAAAAGCTGCAATTTCAAATCTAATAGATACATGTCAGGCAGGACAGGCATTATGTAGCAAAAAATGAAATGGTACCATCTTCTTCAGCTGATGGAAGTATTGTCTCAACCGCTCCTCCTTGGCCTGTACCTCTAAGTCACCCATGCTGTCAATCAAGCCATAAAGAAAATGGCCAACAGCTTCTGCGGGGGGAAAAAACAAGAGAAAGCATTCCACTAAAATTACTGACACTGTCATGTTATCAAGATTAATTTATAAGAAATCATTTTGGTGTGAGATGTCACCCTGATGAGAGGCTCTGAAATGGCAACAATGATCACTGAGGCATAGAGATTATGTGGTTTGGGAGCACATATCTAACTGGTGAGTGAAAGGAATATTAATTATTTTCAAACCCGGTGACAGCTTTTCAGTACAGAATCTTTCTTCAATCTATTTTTTTTCCCACTGCTGTGTGACAGAAGCAGTACTGCCCAAGGCCTCTCCCCCCCTCCTGCCCACTACCCCAAAATAGTTGCCATAAATATTTTGTCACTTATTCAAAAGGAAATAAAGAGAGCTTCCTAAAGCGACATGTACACAGCTCTGTATATTTCACATTATTTACAATGCTTACTGCAGCTAGGGAGTGAACACGAACACAAGAAAGAGTATTAAATGATTTTTAACAACCAGATCCAATAATCCTGTGGAGAGCTGCTTATTAGCCAATGAAAATCAAGATTAACAAAAGATGCTATATAGCTAACAGCACTAATTTTCTTTGGCACTCAAGCATAAAATGTATAGGAGCATGAGGAAGAAGTAATGAGCTTTTTGATAAGAGAACCACATAGTGACATGCACTATATTCTCATCATTATTTTTAAAAGAATGCTCAGCAGATCTTAAGTCAATTTGTTCCAAAAGTAATATATTTGTGGCACAAAATGCCATTCTGTTCTAAAATAATATGGACAGCTATTGGAATGTTTATTTTAGTAGATTAAAATGTTTTAATAGTTTTCTGTAATGTGGAAAGGTTTGATTGCATTTGTAAACCATTTCTTTAAACGGTTTTCATTATATTATCAACACTATGATCTTTTTTGTTTTACTTGACATGCAAGCAAATCTAAGTATTGGGAAAAAAAAACATTTTCAATTAAAGAAACCTAACAAAACCTCAAAGATCCCATAAAATATACTGTGATCATCTGGATGAAGATTTTACCCAACATGTTTTCAAATTTCACTTTCAAAAAGAAGTAATCAGTGTTTACGGGTGTAATCCCTCAAGCCCATCATTACACAGAAGAACGGATTTGTGGATAAGTTACAATCATAGAAATTGAAACTCTACCAGTTGGTCCTGGAGGCGTCTGGCAATAACGTCCATCCTTGTACAACAGTTCTGTTATCTAGTAAGACAGAATAATCGTACATTGCAGCCAAGAGAAGCAAGCAAGGGCAAATAGTATCTGGAATTGAATTCTACAAATAATAAAGCATCTCTCCACTAAGGTATTATTCTATAGTACATCATAGCAATTCACTTTTTAAAAGGAAAGCTTTTTCCCCCTCTGCAGTTTACACACACACACACAAACACACACAGAGAGAGCGCGAGTGAGCATACCAACACACACACACACACACACACACACAATAAGAAAATATTATTTTCATGTATCTTACCCACATTAGTGGTCATAAAGAAAGAACTGCTTGGAACAATTATTACCATTGTTATTTTGGGAGGTTAAAATTAAGAAGCCCTATATTAAATTTTTAAACAGAAATTCTACTGGATATGACACAGCCTCTATGATTGTCAAGAATCTAAAAAACCCCAAAAAGTTAATTTTTGCTGCTGGTTGCTAATTGCAAAAAACAGCAACAGTGCAATCCTATACATGGTCAGGGAAACCAAAACAGCCTTTACCCCAAACTCTGCTGAGTCACACTGACCAAGGAGGACACTATGTGAGGGGCAGATTCTGTTGAATTTTTCTGCCTCGTGGAAATTTTAATTTCCCTGCATTGAAAAAATAGATTTTTTTAGCAATGCCAACTGCATATTGGGCCATTCTAGAGAAAACAAAGCAGCTCTGCTGGATCCCTATCCTGTTTTGGCAGCTAACTATGGATAACTATGGAACTTTCACATGAAAACTGGCAAAAAGGTGGTAGGAGAGACAGAGAAGACCCCCATGGGGAAAACCTACCCCCATCGTGAACTTCAACAGCTAGAAAATCTAATGGTTAGGATTGCTCTATAAGGCTGCAGTTCTAAACACAAGTACAAGACATTAAACTCCACAGAAAACAGTGGGACATATCCAAATAAAATGGATAGGAGCATGCATTATGTAACACATCTGGACAGCCATACAAATGATGTTTACTACATTCAGAGTAGTTTCCTAGATTTCAGTAAGATCTCAGGATGAGAGTAAATAGCTAAATACCTGATTTTGACAGTGGTCCAGGTAGAGTATGAACATCTGAAGCAAGAGTCTCTGCCTTTCCCCACAACAACTGCTGCAGGGGTTCTTTCCCTAAAACTACCCCTTCTCCTGAAACATGCTATTTTCCCATAAAAGTTTATACACATGATTTTGGCTGGGAAAAGTAAATTGTGTCTATTACACAGATATTGGCTCAGTTTGTCTGTTCTGCACATGTTCCAAAGACAGTGCCTACACTGTAACATGTCAGCAATATTACTGATGATTTGTACCCATCAGATATTTTGGTGAATAGGGCTTTTCCACTTATGAAACTGCATACACAAGACCTGTATATGCAACAAACATCCCAGCCAGAGGATAGTGGCTATTGAAAACACCAGGTTTATTATACCCTAGATGTCTCCATTTTGTGCATTTTTTACTTCCTACCATGTCACATCTTAATGAAAGCTTTCAAAAGACATTTGAGGATTCCCATTGATCTGGTTCAAACAAAACCAACAACACAGCACACAGATGGACTACAATATGCCGCTCCATTGTGGATTGTTATGTGTAATCAATGTGCCATGGTTTAACTATACATTGTTAATTACAAACAAACCAGAGTTCTCTTCCTGGGATCTTCAGTTAAAAACCTTTAACTAGGCCAAAGTGAAAACCCATCATTCAATAACTCGTGGTTCATGACAACTGATATTTAACCCATATAGGAGAACCAGGCCATTATTTGTTATAAGCTGGGAAAGAGACTCAACTTCACTTGGAAAGTATAAACAAGGTCAGACACTGCTGTTCTATGGGATGCCCTCTGATCACATTAATTTTCATTACGAATATAATCTTCAGGTTCAAATACAGGGTTGGATATTTTTCTTTCCCAGGCTATCGCTAAAAATAAGACATGCTACAATGCATGTACTGTGTTGCTGTTATAGAGAGGTATAGAGTGTTATTTTCAAGCAAACAACTCATTTTAGTGCAAACAACCCATTACCATCACATTTAATTAAATTTTAGATAACTAGAAAAATATTTCAGATATTTGTGCAGTTAAAAGGAACTAAAAAGTTATTAGTGACTCCATCATGTATTTGGTTCTTATATGCTATTCTGGAAATTTAAATGGATAAAATATAGGAATTATATAAGCCAGAATGGATCCCCTTACCTTCCACCTATCACTTCTTTTCCACATAATTATTAATTAATTAGCAAGTCAATCACCTGAATGGAGATCCAACCTGACACAAGCGGCTGCTCTATTCACTTAGTGCCCTTCAGCCAATCCCCTTCAAGCAGCCATTCTTCACAATGAGCTGGTCTGCATGACCAAAAACAAGCCTATTGATAGCGATAGTGCATGCTGGCTTCAATTTGCATAATCACTGCTTAGCCATGGCTGTTCATACTGTCCTAATGCAGGTGGCATGGCTTGTTGGAGGATAAAACAGCCCTCAAATAAACCCAAACCAGCTCTTGTGTTCTCTGAGGATTGCTTAATCGTCCAAGAAGTCACACCACCCTGGTTTGGATGATAATATAAGCTGTCAGTGATTATGCAAATCATGCCTTATACAGAGTGGCATGTGTCACTGCTGACCAGCCAATGTGGCTTGAACAGAACCAGCCCACTCCCTTACCAGGTGGAGCATGAGGCTTCCAAGTGGCATCCACAATGCATGGAGTACTGATTGGATTTCATTCACTGTATGGCATTTTTGTGGTTTCATTTTACACAGCACAAGAAGAGAATTAGGCACATACATGCCTTTTTATTGATATCAATAGACATTAAAGAGCTTAACTTTTGACCAATCATGTCTTAAATTGAGAATGTACAGTAATATAACAGACTGTTGTATAATGGTTTCTACTTATTGTACTTTTGCAATATTATATGACAAAATCATTTCAATTTCTTCACTCACCTTGCTGCAAAGATCTACATCATTGGACCTGTAGAGGGCAGCAAAGGATAATAAAACAAAACCCAGACAGATTAGTGTAATTTAGTCCTCTGTTAAAACAAACAAACAAACACTGTACAAAATAGAACACAGTATGTATAGCTTTGCTCAGGTGAGAAGTACTGAAAAAAAATGACTAATTTATGTATTTGGGCAGAGATTAATTTTATAACATGATTTCACAGTATGCATAAATTACCACAGACACTACCACTGCCTCAGATAGGTTACAATAGCTCATGCATATGGAGAGAAGTGTCGAAATAATCCATATATGTGTAATACCTGTACATAAGAATGACAATGAGGCAGACAATTACAGATCTTCCAGTCATTTGGTCCCAAATGCCAATTACTTTGAGTTAATAATGACAGTAATTTGGAGCTAGTACACAAGTTTCAAGCCAAAAAAGAAAAATATTGTACTTTCCAATATGCTTAGGACCATTTCTTTAAAAGTAATTCTGAAAGTAATTATTAATCCACGTAATAAATTTGCTAATGTACAATTAACTCATTAATAAACTCATTCAGTTATTTATACATACATACATACCCATATTTATAGGCTGCCTATAACTGCCGAGGCCTTTCTAGGCAGCTTACAATACACTATCACATATTAAATGTAAAGAATGGACAAATTAGATACCACTATTCCCTGTTAAAGGACATTTAGAGATGATGTTGTCTGTGTATTTATATGTTTTTATTCATTCAGACAGCCTTTTTAATAACACAAACACATTTTACTTAATTTATATATTACATTTACCTTCACTTCCTAATCTTCAAAATATAGCAGTGAGTTACTGTAATATATTTCTCCTTTTCAGACCACTTGGGTGAAAGAGGACTGCATTTATATACACACATTTTTAAAAGCATTACCAGTAGATTTATGAAATATCTGCATTGCATCTCAGAAAACAAAACCTTCAGAAAGGAGACATGATTTCACCTCTTACAAATAGAAGAGACATTTATTTTAGCTACTAACCAGAAACTTAATTGTTTGACAATGTAACTGAAAATGAGATTTCAATAGGATGGCCAACACTCATCTAAGAAATGAGTTTGAAGGCTTGATAGCCATAGTACACCGGCTATTGCACACTGAAGCAACAGTGCAAAGGACTGTGTCCTGATTAATTTAAAATAGCACTAGCCCAAATATAGATTCTTTGTGGAGAGGTGTGCACTCATATGAAAATACTGCAATCCCTCAGGTAATACTATTGCAGATGATTCTTGGTGCTTGGGAGTGCTCCACTGCAAAGCTGTTTTCTACATCATAGTCCAGTTCCCTATGTTGTTATGTGGCATCAAGTCATCGCCACCTTACGGTGACCCTATGAATGAAAACCCTGTAAAATGTCCTGTCCGTGACAACTCCACTCAAGCTCTTACAAGTTCAAGGCTGTGGCTTCACTTCCTTATATTTAGATGTTATTATCCCATATGATGTACAAGAATTCACATTAGATAACTTAATGACCCCGCCCCCGCAAAAAAGGCAAGCTTTATATTTTTATGTCTGTGCTTAATTCAATGAACACCAAAAGCCGTAACTGGAAATTAACCTTTTAGTATAGTATTCTTGTACTACTGGTTAAATGTATTCTAGATTTTGCATTCCCTCTAAATTCTTAGGAAACTGCAGTAATATTTATTATATTATTTTACTCTCCAATAGCCTAAGCTCTCCAGGCAGGTCAGAACCATGAAAAACAAAAAATACAGAACAATAAAACATAATAAAGCAAAAACCAGCAACAGTGTAAAGATTTAAAAATATAGCAACAAACTTAAAAACAACCAAAACTGATGAATTAAAATGCCTAGGAAAATAAGGTAGTTACCTGCCTATTGGAAATGCTACAATGTACCAGGCAAGACTCCCTGGGGAAGGCATTCTACAAAAGGCCCTTTCTGTGGTAGCCATCTGGTTTACCACATTTGGTGGAGGAACTTGAAGAAAGGCCTCTGCAGATGATATTATGGTCCAAGCAAGTACATATGGCAACTGGTCCCAAGCTGAAGTTTTTTAAGGTATTATGAACACTTGTGATTGGCCATTCATGTAGGAGTGGAACCACTGCAGTGCAGTACACCTCCAGCTCTCAAACAAAGACCGCCTATGCAGAAGTATGCCATTTTTGATGATAACGAAAGCTGCCATTCCCTTATCCCTCTCTTGGTAGGGTTTATTTTACATAGGTTCATTCCAACCAGACCTGAAGCCCAAATGAAATTGATTCAGATTATTAGTTAAACAGTGTTGGGAGTGGCATTCAAGGATCTTGCCCAGGAAGGAGATGTTAGCAACCAGCTTGTAGTTGTTAACATTTTCTGGGTCCACAGCTGGGCTTCTTCAGGAAAGACTTAATTACTAACTCCTTTAAAGGGATGGTACCACCACCCTCTCACAGAGGAATTTACAGCCTCCTGAATCAGCCAAACATCCTCACTCTATTAGAGTAATGAGCCATGAAAGGCAAGGGACAAACACATAGATGGTAACCAAGTCTGGCCAAGCACTTCGTATCCTCACCTCAAGACTCAACCAAAACTCATAAAAATAGAATCTAGACCAATGCAGTTCCACTTCTACAGACGGACACCACAATTAATGCAGTTCAAAGTCATGATGAACACCAGCTACTTTATTGTCACAAAGTGTTGTGCCAGCTCCTCAGTGTGCTACCAAGGTTTCCACCATTTCGCCTCATGGCCTAGATTATAGCAGGCTGTGAACAACTTGGAAAATATCTGCTGAATGGCGCTGAGAAGACATAATGGCAAAGGAACAGAACACCTTCTCTTTCACCATCACTACCACAAAGTAAGCTTGATAATGAGCTCTAAGCAGTGTTTGGAATGAGTCTTTTTCCACCTGCATTCTAGTCATCTTCCTTCTTGTTTAATCACTCTCAGCTCAGGCAGAGGAGTGGTACTTGAGCACAATCATGTCACTTGCCCAAGCTGTCTCTGCATTCCACAAAGTAAGAGGGTTTCAACAGGAGTTGAAGCCATGTCAGCAGGAAAATCCCCCAGAGCCTTCTGGAGTCCGTTGGGATCTATTAGTTTCTGTAGGTGAACCATTTTAATACATCCTCCTCTCTTGCAGTGGGGAAAGGCTGATGAGAGTCTAAGTCTCAATAGATTCAAAAACTAATAGTTTTGCCTGCATGTCCTATGATAAGAACATTTCTAAAGGATCCTTAGAGCCCTGATATATATTTATTTAAACTTATCATGCTTCTGGCAGACTAACTTGAAAGAGAGCCAAGTGTAGGTCCACAGAGGAAACAAAAGATAGTTTCCAAGCCTGGATGAATTTTCCCAAGCAAGTTCCACTCTGAACTGACAAGCAATTGATCTGACACATCAATTCAATGATGCCAAAATGGTTCACAGGTTGATATTCTCACAGTGCTACCCTTCCATGCAGTGCTGCTCACAGAACCAAAACTAACAGTGCATATCCTGAAGAGGTCTTATAATCAGTGGGTATAATTTCTTTAAGGTGTGTTGGGTTTAAACATTCACATCTGCATTCTAAACTGTATGATATTTCAGGCTGCTTATTTTCCAGTCTGCAGCTGGACATCACACCACACAACCCTAAAAAGGCACCAATCATGGGGTGTGAAGTAAAAGCCATGCCAATTTTGCATCACAATCCAATGCTTTTTAAACCAATGGGTTGCTGTTATATGCTGGTCACAATCTCTTAACAATGAAGCTGCAACCTACCACTCTCTCAATTCTCTCTCTGCACCCAGGCAGAAAACTAAACTACATTAAGGTGTGCTCTTATACCTCACATTAAAAGTAATTTGAAACATCCTATAGCCAAGTAGAATGATTTTACTTCCCATTAGAAGCACCATGTATAGTAAATATTTGTGCCCACTTTCTATCAACCATCCCTACACCCTTTCCCCTCCACTCACATGCACATGCATCACCTCACCCTGTTCACAGTCAGCCCCTCTCCCTCAAATGATACGTTTTCATTTTCTCTCTGGTGTCCTTCTAATTATTTCTCCCTTAACTTCTACGTCATTCCATCCCATGACTCCTACTACCTGCGCCTTCCTTGCCATCAACCAAGCTGATAACACTGTCATTGTTCTTTCCTAACTAACCATGTCTTCTTATCACAGCACATACCTTGGCCAAATGTCCCACAATTATTATGGCAGTAGCACTCCAGCTATCAACCAATTAGTAATCATTCCATCCCCATTTTTGTCAGCCTGATCTCTTCCTGACCTACCTTCTTCAGAATTGGCATCCATTCTTATTCCATTCAGTAGGATCACAATTCCTAGTCACCCAAGCAATTCGCAATAAGTGGTAAAGAATTGAAAAAAGCTCTCAAAACATCACAGAGTTTCAGTAGGAAAATTACTGCTGCATCTAGTTATCAAGGTATATATATGCATTCCTGTAATGTCTAGCAGTACTGTACTTCTTTCAGTCCAAGTGATGAATTCAATTTCAGAGAAGTTCTGAAGGACCATTTCTAACGGTAGGAAAAACTGAAGCCAAAATGGGTTTGGGGTAAAAAATCAGCTTATTTTAGCTTTAAGTTCCCATTGTCAGTTACTCAACCTTAGGAGAAGTGTTTCAAGCTTCTAGAAGGGGATAAAATGAAGATGCCAGGAAACCATGAAATGACTTATGGTCAGGGAAAATGAGTGGAGTAAGCCCATCTGGGGACCTGAGGAGCTGCGCCTTTGAGCTAGACAGAGTCAGGATAGCTAATTATCTTATTTTGTCCAACTGCAAAACAAACAAACCATCAACTTTTGTGGTTGAGGCTACTAAGCAAAGGTGCATTATGCATGTTTCACATGGAGCACATTTCTGAGTTCATGTCATACCTTAAAGATATTCAGCTATAAGTCACATAACCCCTAAATTAAGAAATAGTGGTTTGCAACTGGCCAGCAAACCAGAACAGGAAGATCCAGATTCAGATGAGTTTCTAAACTACGCTAATTGTGGTATGGCTGAAACCACAGTTGTGGCCACTTCTCCCTCAGGATCTCTTTCAATGGAGATACTGACATTACTAGCAAAAGATTGGCTTATGAGAAGGAAATCAATCCTTCTTTACACTGTGAAGAACTTGGAGAAGGAAAGGAAGAAGGGTTAGATTAGATTAAAGAGGGAAGAATCACTTGGCTTCTCCCTTGAGCAGAGCTTCTGCCACTCTCTCCTTCTGAAAATAGTAATATAAAGGTACAATATACTCCTCTGTGGAAGAAGGAATCAGTTCTCTTCCTTGCCACAGGGTTTTTTGCACAAGCAATTTAGAGTAAGCTTCTACAGGAAAAGGAAAGAAACTACTACTTTTTCCCTCTGTGAAGTTCTCTGTTGCACAGGTAATGAAAGGAATGGATTCCCTCCCATGAACAAAGCTTTTGCTGGAACTGTAGAGGCACTTGCCAGTTAGGGAAGACACGCTACAGGCTGACAGCAGAAAAATTAATATATGAAAACCTAACTAATTCACATATTTTGTCAGGGATTCTGAAACTGTCCACAACTTCCCAAGTCCTGTTTTTTGAATGGACCTTGCATCTGCAAAATAGCTGTCTCAACATAACCAGTGATCTGACCACTTGTATCCTTCAACTGTAAAAATAAAAAAAATTAACCTTTAGAAAAAAATAGTAGCATTGTTCTAAAAAGGAAAACAAAACACACAGAGAGGAAGACATAAAGATACTAGAATGGAGATTTTTCTTTCAAAAAGCCGAGTATATGGCCTAAGGTAGCAAATAGTGATAATGGCCAACAAGAAGTGGAGTACTGTGTGAACTACCAAAGGTGAAGAGTTATGCAAGCATCTAGGGCATTCGAAGCTTTCAGATGTGCATAGTTAGCTGTACTTGTCACTTCTCCAATGTTTATCCCTTTGAGTGGTGACGTTTTGTATTTGCAAAACATCTCTCAAAGCCGTTCAAGATTATTTTTAGAACAGGAAAATGTATTGCCATGACACACATTTTTTATATACAAACAAGGCGTGAATTCTGCAATATGTTAATGGGGCTACTGAAAAGAAAACACGAAAGAGAGCAGTCTGTGGCACAGTGACCTCATGCAATATTTTAATGTTTTGAGGCACTTGGCATTTCTCTATCTCACTTTAAAAAGAAGGGAAGGGGGATTTCAGGAAATAGTATGCAAAATTGTCTATAAAAATCTTCTCCTTTTTGTCCCTCTGCCCTACCTTTACCCTATCCCAATGCAGATTTGAAGCAAGATTGCATCAGTTTACTAATCTGAGAGCACAAGAGGAAACAACATAAGCAGCTGTGGAAGGAGGCATTAACTAACACTGGTAAATCACCATCATCTGCATCACCAATTAAGTTCCATTTCTAACTTATGCTCCATGCAAACATTTGAGAAGCATCATTATGGAAAGAAGATCTTCAGTTTTGAAAATGCTAATTATCTAAATGTGATTATTTCCACTGGTATATCACTCTTTTTCTCTGAAGTGGCAGATTACCAATGAGCGTATCAGAACATTTAAGTGATCACACACTTTGCCAAACATATTGAACTAAAATTTTCTAATAATAATGAAAAAGCTAACATGGGACCAAAGTCTGCCAAGTTTTCCCAAAGACTTAAGTTTTAGAAAGAGATGACAATAAACCTAATATAAGATACAACATGTATTTCCAATGATATAACCAAAGATGCTCATGATTTAAAAATCTGCATAAACTGAACCAGGATGGTTTACCAATTGTGTAAACCATCTTGGGTTCCTTGAAAGTGGAAAAAAGGTAGGATATAAATGCAATGTAGCAACTGTATGATGGTTTCTTGCCTGGCTACCTTTCTGGCTAAGAATGTGGAGCTTTTTTCATATGGGAGGAACATGTACTCTGACCTAGTATAGCCCAACAAGAAACACACTACACAGCTGTGTTAATCATGAAGCTAGGTTCCATTATATCATTCTTCAATTGTAAAATGGGGTTTATTTTTAATTAATGCTCATATCTGCTGGAAGAATGAACCAAGTAAAGAGCAAATGAAGTGCAATGATTAGCATACTGGTCATAGATACAGAAGACTAGGTTCTAGTCCCATCAAGACCACAAAGCTCACTAACTGGACCAAGTATCGACTCTCAGCCTAACCTACCTCACAGCGGTTTTGTGAGTATAAAATTGAGAGGAAGTCACTCATATATAAGACACTCTGGAGGGAAAAAGGCAAGGTAGAAATATAAATATGCAGAGACTATAAAAACTTTTGCACAATTCTCATCTGTGATTAGAGCAACTGCAAATTCAAATCTCAATTCAGCCACAAACACATGGAGCAGCTTTAAAGATAAGCCCAGCCTCAGCATCTAATCTACAAACAAGAATTACTATAATACTGTAAAATAAAGTCACTGGATAACACAGAACCAAAAATGATGAAACTATATGCGAAGATTTAAATATTTCACCTATTCCACTTGCTAGGAGGATATGGTTCATTTTGACTCATTAAATCTTGGAAAGATTAAGGCAGAATGGATGGCCCTGCATGCCTCTTCCAAACCAGAGACTGTCAGAAAGATTGGGGGGGGGGGGGGAGAATTCTACAGAAATGTTTCCAAAGCAGAAAATTTCCCCATGCTTAATTTCTCCACAGAAAATCTTTCCTTATGAGTGGATGCCAACTGCAACCGCAAAATTAAATAAACATGCTGAATTGAATAGCACTCTGGGACACCAGAAAAATGAAAGGGAAAAAAACAAGCAAGCAGGAGGATTTTACACTATCTATCTGGAGAAAACTCAACATTTTGAATAGGAAAATCTTCAGATTCAAAATGTTCAGATTTAATCAGCTGTAAAGACTAAACAACTGCCCTAAATATCATGGAACCAAAATCTAAAATTAGGAGGCAAGATAATCTGAAATCCAGGACATTCACAAACTCCTACCTTTTCATTGCATTGATCAGAGAAACTTTGAACAGCCTGTGATCCACAGGTGGCGTATTTGCGGAAGACACTGCGGAGAAAATTAAATGCTTTAGATTATGTTGACCCTCACTACTCAGAAACATTGATTAAACCATTTATACCAAATTACAGTTATTTAAAATAAATTCTTTTAATAAAATCAACTTTGTACATTAATGCATAATCTTCCAATCATGTTTTTTCTAAGCACTAAGCTTTGTGCACCAGTTAGAATAGGAAAGTTATCCAACCTTGGGGCATTAGCTGGATTGTAATACTGAGATCGTATCAGTGAGTTGGGAGTGCACAGTTACTGTACATCCGTTGTTTCAAGCTATGATCATGTACAAAGTTAAGGTGTCGATCTCTACTGTATTATCGGAGTAAAGTGTCAATTAGCTTTCAGTAATGTATCTAGCAAGCTAAATTCCATAAGCCTAGGGAGCCTGTGGTACACTCAAGGGGTTATGTGTGCCCCAGGGACACAGACTATAACTAGGGGCAGAGAAACAGAGGAACTTTTGGCTTAGGGTAAAGCCAGGAACAAATCACTTCCTGCTGCACAATTCATCATTTATGAAGCTAAGAAGGATAGTCTAGATGTGGCTACTGAATGACACTAGCAAATCACCAGCTATCCAGAATTTCAAGCAGATGAGATCTCTGTGCCTCTCCCTGCCAGTGGATGCATCCCAGCTCAGAAGCACCGTTTATAAGCATGAGAACCAATGCATCAAAGTGAAAAGGAAACATAATTTTCACACATTTATTATGTGCAGAAATATATATTTTCCTATACCCATATAAGAAAAATACCAGCTGCAAAACAGTACCAGTACCAATGAAGCAGTAGAGGAAAATCTCATTCAGTCCTTGAACAAGGAAAGTGTTTCTCTCCCTAACCTGGGTTTGACACTGAAAAAATCTCCCTGCTTACAGTGGTATATTACATAATTCTCTGATAATGTTGTTGTTTAAAGAAAAACAAGATTTTTTTCTCAAATCTTATGCTCAAAAAGTTTTTGTTCATTTAAAAAAAATCAGGCACAGCACATCTCTGTAGGCTCAGCAGTTGCTGATAGTCGGCAACCTGGTTTCCTTAGCAACAAACAAGTCTGAAAAAAATCAAAAGCAGATGACAATGAAGTGGAATGGAATGGCATGATAAAGGGGAAACAGGCACTCTTATTCTTGCTGTCTTAGGCTCCCAGATTCCTTAACTGATGCTTCCTAGTTTTCAGCTTGTCAGTAACGGAAATCTATGCATTATACGAGATTGGAAAGGAAGAAGTCAACTTTAACAGTCTTTATTCCCCTTCTGCAACAGCACTAAAACCAAACTTTAATTAAATATTTTAATATTCCCCCAAGGTAAAGGAGTACTGACAATCAAACCAATTTGCAGAGTCACTGGTTCAATAGATACTGTAATATTTTAAAGTTTTGACTAGCTTTTGCTTTCATATAGAGTGCTCTGCTTTGCTGTTTCTTGAACTGTGGTGCTTTGTATTAAAAAAAAGTTATAAACACATTTTTTAAAAAATCAAATGCAATTACAGAACACTTTCATCATAGTTTATAAGCAACAATGAAAAAAATCAACTGATTGTCAGTTTTAAAGTCAATGCTTAAAATAAAAGCACAAAATGAACTGACATTTATCCTAAAACATTTATCTTAAGACTTTCATGCTCAGATCCTGCCATGAACGCTCTGTGTGTCAGGATCTCTTAGGTCAGACAGTAGTGGAAGCCCTGACCTGATCAAGATACCTTGATCCAGCTCTTCACACTGCAAACATATAATCAAGATTAGGCAGGGGAAGAGGTAGGAATACAGATAATTTGTGGGCAACCTCTATATGATGCAGAAGCATAGGGGGCACACCTCCGAACATTTGATACAGAATTCTGAATCAGAAGGACTGTGCTTGTGCATCTGAATTAATACACGTAAACATAATCCATTATATTTACTTTTTTAATACTGGTACACCTGCACCAAGCAAATCAGACCTTGGGTTACAAAGAAGTTCTGTTCCAGAAAACAGAAATTCTTCTTTAAATTGAATTAGCATGTAAGTTCGTTCATGCACCGTTGGCCCTTCACATTCGTGGGCATTAGGGTTAGGCACAGGACCTCCATGACAGTGGGAAAATCAGAAGCATCCCTAGGCCCTCTCCTCATCAGTGTCTCCTCTTTGCAGCAAGGAAATGCCAGAGAGATTTCCCGCTCCAGATGGGCAGGGAAAGAAGGCATGCTTTGGAGGCCACCCTCTCTACCAGTTCCTTTCTTTCTATGGTGGTAACTTTTTAAAATTGATTGGCTTTATAGCAGTTCATTTATAAGTATGGGTTGTTCATAACTCAGGGACTGCCTGTACTCTCAGCTATCCAGTTGTCCCTTCATATCCCTTTCCTTTTAATTAAGTTGCAATTTTGAAAGATGTTTGAAAATATAATTTATAAGAACTCCACTTCTAGCATATATGACTTTTATATATTTTAGAAAATGTTTCTCATGCTCAAGCTCATTTTTGGAAGCCTTCCTTATTTTAGATTATACTTGATCTTGTTATCTTATTGTCTGCTACAGTCTTTCCCCAACAAGCTGCCATCCAGACATATTGGATCACAACTCCCATTATCTCTGATCATGTGCCAAGCTGGCTGGCACTGGAATTGTAGTCTAAAACATCTGAAGGGCATATTCAGGTTGGGGAATGCTGTTCTACTGATTTGGATAATGGACTTCCTAAAATAAAGAAAATTGGTAATGGGCCAAGCAATCCTAAGATCTGTGGATGAACTCTGGAAGGCGACTGGATCTTTGGAGACCCAGCTCTATCTATGGAAACAGTTCTGATATTCAGAAAAAGCTCTTGATATCAAAACTGTGCTTGGAGCACCCTCCTCTACCTGCTTCCAAGCAGAATGAAAAGAACAGATCCTGCTGCTTCCCTAAGGTTGCATCATCAACTTCTGAGAGGAGGTCTAGTAGGCATTCCAGTGCATGGGCAGGGGAAGAGACCAGTGCCACCACAATACATAGCCTGGCAGCACCTCAACCACCTTCCCGCCCCCTCTGATATGTTGCAGTTGGACAGCTGAAATCTACCAATTTACTGCTTGGCGAAGGAGGGGGGCACAGAGGTGACTTTTGCTTCCACATTCTTCCTATGCTACATAGGAGGCTCACAATCATCCAAGTTCAAGAGTTCTGGGCATCCCCATATAGCTGTCCTTTATATGTTTTTCTTGTGTTCATTTTAATCATTAGTTCTCTGTTAATAAAGAAGAATGTTCCATTATGACTCTGTGTAATCCAATTTTTAGGTAACTGGCAAAATATATTTTCTTTATAATAACCAACGTGGCATTTAAAATTAAAAGCCTACCATAGATATACAAATTAGCTATTCAGATAACAATTACAATATCAAAAATACTTACGTAAGGCTAAAATATTATCCAGTCTTCCATGTGTAGCTTCATGTCTGATTTCTGCTGCAGTAATATCAACTCCAACAGAAAATCCATTTTCCTAGGGAGAGATCAGAATACAGTGCTGCTTTAGGAAATATAGTATGAAATATGAATTTGTGGGTGGAAAAGGAGGTCTAACCCAAAATAAACTGTTTTGGAACAATGCTTTATTCCAGCTTTCCCCAAGCTAGTGTCCTCCAGGTATGTTAAACTACAACTGTTTTGATACCGTGCTGCCACTGCTCTATTTGAAAATCCATCCATTTGCTTTTCATATTTTACAGCTTAAATCTGATACAAAACTGGATTTGCCTAAGATACAAGTGGGGTACTTCAGAGAGTATGGGGGGGCAGTTTTTAGAACCCAGGCACCACTAGGGGGTTCACTCTCTGCTGCCAAAAAGACATAAATTTTGGTGGTGCAGCAAAAATACTACATTTCCACTTTAAAGGGACTTGGCTGATATATTTCGTGTTTTAAACGTGAATTATGCTCCTACAAGAGTGTGGCTTGCCATTAAAACAGGCGAATGCTTGCCACATGGCCTGCTTTAAATGGAAAATCTGTCCTTTTGCTGCCACTGTATCACACAGCAGCAGCAGTTTGAAGAAATGTGGCAGGGCACGGGCAACAGGGACCAAAAACCAGTCTGGTCTAAACCTAATTTAAATCTAATTCAAAATGCCTATCTCTCTATTGGATAGCAGGCTTGAGAGAGCCTCTGATAATGACAGCAGGCTATTAAAACTTTAATTTCTGAAACAGGGAAGTCAAAGTTCTGAGATGTGCCTGTATTATACAAAGAAACAAATGCCAAATGTTGGCAGAGTCTTCATACTTGGAGAGTTGTACATTACATAGTTTTCCTTTTCTAAATGGTTTGAGCTGCAATCATATTTTAAGATTTTAATTATAATAAGTATCTCTTTTTAAAAATTGAAAGGATATTTGATTTTAATTTAAATTAATAGTAGCTGGATTCACATATCATAACAAGAAATCCGCATCATAACAAGAAATTCTACAATGCATGGTTTGTATTCGCAAGTTTGGGGGACTGGAGAAACCATGGTGAAGTGTAGAAACCATAGAATGAAGTGTTGTTTAATGTGATTTCCAAAAACCAAATGTACCATGCCAAATATCACAACAGGGTTTGGACAACATGACAATCTTGTGCAAGAAACCACCATGACTCTTCATTTCCTGCACACCCACCCAATATATCAATGCACTGAACTGATTATTAACAAGTGCAAGACTACAGGCAAAGCCATCCAGCATCTCAACAAGATCTTTCAAAGAGCACTGATAAGTGAGCCAGTATTTTCATGTTATACCTTTTAATTACCAGAGCTGAGGAATGTGCTCCATACTCATATTGTGATCAATAATTCTGCCAACCAAACAATATAAAACAAACAGTATAGCAAACCAGTGTGGTGTGGTATGGTGGTTAAAATGTACGACTAGGGACCCAAGAGACTGAAGTTCTAGTCCCCACTCTGCCATAAAGATTACTGGATGATGCTGGGCCTATAGTTGTTGTTTTAAGGATAAAATGAAAATACATAGGCTGCCTTGTGTTCCTCACAAGAAGAAGAGAGGCAGGATATAAATGCAATGGAAGAAAATGGTGACAAAGAAGTCATTGTTGATGGGATAGTGTTTATTAGCTAAACAAATGCTTTGCATACATAAAAGTTGCAGGCATTCCAGTTAAAAGGATTTCAGATAAGGCAAGGAAAGACGTTGCAGGGCCATTTCAAGTGGACAATATTGAGCTACATGAAGCAATATGCTGTGCAAAGTAGAATTATATTGGGAGCCAGCTGTCATAATGGTTAGAGTTATAGAGTTTACTGCAGAGTTGTAGGTTTACTGTTGTAAACCACTCAGAGAGCTTCAGTTGTGGATCAGTACAAAATGAAAATAGTAATAGTAGCAGTAGTAATAATAATAATTATTATTATTATTATTAAATAGAGCATTGGAAAATCTAGGTTCTATTTAGTCCCTTCTCATTCATGAAGCACTCTGGGAGACTTTGAGCCAGCGAAACGAAAAGTAGGTTGAGGATTCCACAGCCAGGTAAGGTTGACACTTGGTTCAGAGGCCCGGCTGCTTCAGCCAGGTGGTGATCCAAGGAAAGCAAGGCACCAAGGCCACAAGAGGGCTCAATGGTGCCTGGAATGTAAAAAGTCCTAAGATACTATAAATTACTTCCAAGGACAGGAGAATTCACACTCCTCTTCAAGCCCAGAGATCTCAGCTCAGGGTACACAACTGTCACCTGGGCAATGTCAGGACATGTCACCCCATGAGTCATTTGTTTAATCTAACATGTAGAAAAGCTAGAGGCCAGAACAGAATGGGGTTCTGCTCCAAGGAGAGGTTCCCTGTTGCTGCTGGAGGCTCTGCCAAAGGACACTGCGCTATTCTACAAAGGAGAAGGCTACATTGGGTACTGTCTATTTTGTTAATGTTAGGAACAGCTAGCTTTGTTATTTTGAATCTGAGGTGGCCAACTAGCCTTAGGGGTCTTAGGGGGAGCTGAGACTGTGTGAATTTAGTGAAAGTGCTGCTCTCCAATTCCCTTTACCTTCCCTACCCTCATTTGTGTGTTTCTTGTGTGCTATGGTGTTTTAAGCCTCTCCACCTATTGTGCTAAACCACACTTTTAATAAACAAATTTTCCCCAGTGTTTGGGTTGTCATGTGCTGAATCTAGTGACTAGCCCAAGATTGGGGATCAGGTAACGTAGGGCTGAAAGTAATGCCCTGTGAGCTGCTCAGAAGTAGGGACTCTGAAGAGGCTGATCACTACAGTCAGTCACTGATTTTCAACCTCACAGAAATGCTGAGAGCATAAAATGGAGGAGAGCCAGAGGATGATGTAAGCAGACTTGAATATCTTGGAACAACCAAGGTGTGACATAAATATAATACATAAAATAAACCTACAGAGAAACATGATTACGTCTAGTAAGTTATGTTGCTTTTGGAAATTTCTCAGTACATTTTAAGGCCCAAGTGTAACAGAAGCAAGCCCTACTTTATTCAGTGAAACTTGCTTCCAAATCACTATGTGCAGGATTGCAGCTTAGACTTTAAAGTAAGTGAAGCAGAGCCTAATTCTGCCATGCCAACAAAATGAAAGCTGCATGGCAAATGACTTTGTATTATGAGCCTACCATAAGCAAACTAATTAATAGTGAAACAATATGTTTTCATTATCATAGCAACCAGTTAGTGTACATGCTTATCCATCACACATGCACGTGTGTGCACATGAAATTCTTGTATTTCCTGAACAGGTATGCATGCTAAGATTTAAAAACTGAAAACCTGATTTAAAGTGCTGTGATATAAGTCAATCTACCATGCAGAAGCTGCTAGACAATGCTGGAAACTTGCATTAATCAAAAGTCCATTAAGGAATGAAACCTTTAATCAAAAGTCTTATACTGCAATCCTTACACATGTCTATTCTAAAGTAAGTACCACTGAATGAAATAGGCCTTACTGTCATTTAAATAGGTATAGGATTACAGCCTAAATGCCATGAATTGTTTTCTCAAAAAGATAAAAAGAGTTTTAAAGAGAAGATTTTAAAGACTGATTTTAAAGATTTATTTGGGAGACATTATCCTTAAGCCAGTACAAACTCTTATCACCATTGAAGTAAAATTACTCTTAGTAAGATTGCAGACTCCATCTCTAAAGTATTAAGATGACTCTGCATGACTCACCTGAAGCAGCTGGTGCATAGAGTTTACATCATCGAAAGCTGGTAAAACGTAGGTTGAATATGTTTCGATGTTAGGCTCTACCTGCAGCTCATTCATTGTTTTGAGGACATTAATTGTACCTACAACAAACAAACATATAAATAAATGAAAATGAAACTGGGTGGAAAATGAAACTTCAGCCAATCCGACACTCACTTAAGTATGTTAAAGTTAAAAAAAAAACTATAAGGGGTTGGGGGTTTTTTGGGTTTGATTTATTCTGCTTGGTTTTCTTTCTTGCTCTCAGTAATCAAATTCTAAGTTGTGAAACCAGTTGTATTTATGTCTGTCTTACTCCATGATATGAGTAACAGACAACAGGACCCTGTAAATCACTTAGAAATGACTAAGATAAGTATTTTTTCCTGGCACAATGTTGAGTTTGAATTACAAGTTAAAAATTAGTTTCTTTTCACATTAAAAGAAATTTGTGAAACAAAACAGTGAGATTCTCAGGCTTTCTAATGATAAACTGTTTTGTTCCATAGTACCAAACAGGAATCCAGGATCAACACAAAACCAGAATTCGGAGACCCACAGTTACAGCTCTGTGGAGAGAGGAAAATTTGGGTGCACTCCCCCAGCCAGCTATTATGAAATCAGCATGATAACCTGCTTTTGATACCCATTAAGAGTAGGGAAATTAAGAGTAGTTGTAATTTGAGAAGGAGTACTACTGCCCCCTCCCAAAAAAAACCTACCATCCTTGATAGTTCCTACAGGAGCTCTCTCTGGTTTTGGTATTACAGTTTTCAAATAATGGGCATGAACATTATTGGACATACCAAGTTAGGGAATTCATGTGTCCCAGTTGTGTAGGGGATCCTAAAGGGATCTAAATCCTCAAAACAAAGTCAATCGATAGCAGACTGAAATCTCTTTTCTCTCCTTTAGCAACAGCTTCGTAAGAAATTCTTCAATGTTCTACCATTGTGGAATAGAGCACCTTGTTCAGCTCTTACTTCTGAGTATTACAAACACAATAGGGTCACAAGGCAGAACAAATTATTTGTCCTTTTCTATCAAGCAATTCCCCTTCATGGATCACTGCCTTGTCATGGTGAAGGGGCTTGTGTCGCTCAATGAAGCTATGAACTATGCCGTGCAGGGCCACCCAAGACGGACAGGTGATAGCAGAGAGCTGACAAAATCTGATCCACTGGAGAAGGAAATGGTGCTAGAGAAGACTCCTGCGAGTTCCGGGACTGCAAGGAAATCAAACCAGTCAGTCCTGGAGATGATCAACCTCGACTACTCTTTAGAAGGCCAGATACTGAAGATGAAACTCAAATACTTTGGCCACGTAATGAGAAGGAAGGACTCCCTGGAGAAGTGTCTAATGCTGGGAACAACAGATGGCAAAAGAAGAAGGGGATGGCAGAGGATGAGGTGGCTAGATGGAGTCACTGAAGCAGTCAGCATGAGCTTAAGTGAACTCCGGGGGATGGTGGAGGACAGGAAGGCCTGGAGGAATGTTGTCCATGGGGTCGCGATGGGTAGGACACGACTTCGTGACTAACAGCAACATCAAGCATATAACTCACAGAACACAGATGAGAACCTATGTCCAGGTCTAGTTGAGCATACTAGTTCTCAGGGCCACTGTTAACTGATACGTATCATTAAATTGTTTTATTTTTTAAGTTAACAAAATAAAGAAAATCCTACTGCTGCTGCTATATCAAAGTCTATCAGTGCTCACTGTTTTTCACATAGTTTCTTAAGCGATAACTACCAATTCTTGCTCCAAGGAAATTGTGACTGCAGGAAGCAAACATGAAGGGGTAAGAAAAACACAGATAGGAAAAACTGAATGTGAGCCTATGCGAATTTGGGTGTACCCACAGATCCAACTTTGTCCGTTGAGGCCCTAGTGGCCACAATAACATGGAGTGTTTCTGCCTATTCTGGGTGATGTGACAACAGCAACCATTTCTGCACAGGAATAAATTAGCTAAGGTGATCCATACACAGGTAATCTTCCAACTGGACTAATGCAATGCATTATACCTGGGGCTGCTCTGAAGTGGAGCAGAATAAAGCCACCAGAGTTTTGGCTACTAAGGCCAGATGCAAAATCTGAACTGATACCTATTTACTTCGGGATCAAGTTCAAGGTGCTAATTGATTTAGATTAGACATAATGGTGTGGGACCCACAAAACTTGAAGTGCAATGCTGTCCATATGAGTCTATCTGTGTGTTAAGACTTCTACTAAGGTAATTTATCAGAAGGTAAACCATGTGTCAAAGAAATGAGCTCTCCTGGCAAACACATTGCAATCTTGGTGGCATCACAGAAAAATATTTTTTCACCCAGGCATTTTAGCATGGGACAGTTTTAAAAATTAAGGGTTTCAGCTGATCTATTTCATGTTGTGAATTAATTAATTTTTCTCTGCCCTGGAATTCCAACACAGAATGATAGCATAAGATGTTTAGTAAGTTAAAACATATTTAACTTGGCTACAATAGGAAACTTACAGAAAGATTTGGTTTTGTACCTCAAACAAAATCAGGGATGGGGTTTCACATATGGGGGTGCATATAGACATAGAAACCATTATTGGGGAGGTTATTAAGCCAACACAGCATAGATTAACTTGATTTATAAAGGGGAAATGAAAAAAACCTAATAACCAGCACTTTAATGTTACCACAAAGCAACTACAGATAAGCTTTTCCCTTTGAAATTCAAATAACTTGCTGAATTTTATTACATCACATCTTGTTGACTAATTCTGGATTCATGTCAAAACCTATACAGGTACTGAAATGTTTGCTAGCATAAAAATGATTTGTCAGATGCTGCAGGATATCAGATCCAAGAAGCATATGCTTTTTTCTTCTTTTTCCAAGTTGCCTCACATATTTGTTACTATAAAAAATTCTGAAGTTTCCTGAAGTCCCTGTCTTTACCCTGGAGTGCCACCTATGGAAAAGTGACACTTCCATGAATATTTTATGCAGTGCACTATGGTGCAAATAATCAAATGTGAATTCCCTTTGAGCACTTAAAAATACATGCCGACAAGTCACACTAAATTAAAGTCGCATCATCTACTCAAGTTTGCCTTAAAATAGAACACTCACTGATTTTGGCCCAGAACTGGCAATTTTATCCAGAAAAGAATTAATTATAATATAATTTTGCTCAATACCTTTCAAATGTTGACAGCCAGTTTATGGTTTATATTTATAAGATGTCAGATATGGCAATGAAAACTCAGCTAAAAATATTTTTGATCAGTGTTTCTATAATTAAAAACTGTTTAGATGCACACAGAAAGAAATCTTTTTCAAAATAAACAGTAGCATAGCTATAGTAAATCAAGCTCAGTATATGCAGGAGATGTGGGTTCAAATTCCCATTTAATCATCAGAGAAAACATCACAACCCACACTTGTGGGACCTAATTTTTATCAAATGTTAAGGATTAGAATTCAGGGTACTGCTGTGTAAATGGAATAAGGAGATATGGATGAAGCATCCAAAGGAGCTAGAAGTGTCTTTGATGCTGAGATACGAATGTTCCCCTTTGGCTCCCATTCGCTACCATTTTGCTCCTCCCTTTACGTGTGCAAACAAGACAGGAAGTCGTCAGTTAATTACAGTTTTCTGTTATGTGCAAACCAGGAAATGACAGTCAAAAGCTTCTGAATAAACTGATCAAGCCATGGTTTAAAGATGGCTTAATATCTCGGCTTATTTAGAAGCTGTTAACATTAGCTTCCTGGTTAAAATACAGTAGGAAGGTAGTTTTACTGTTACATTTCTATCTCGTTGTTTAATCAAAATTCCAGAAGTGACATTTAACAGAAAATTTCCGATCTTGCTTCACAGCTTGTGGAAAGGGAAGATTGAAGCAGCTGTGTGCAGGTCCACAAGACTTATTTTAACTTGACTGTCTGAAAGTGGCATAGTCAGTGGAATAACTGTTCCAAAGTATATGTAAGCTAAAGAATTAAAAGAGAAAGCTAGTTTTGCAATATGTCCACAAACTAGGTAATTGCCTCCATTGTTGCAATGCTCTAACAGCAAACATTTTTTTCCTGATATCTAGCCAAAATCTGGCTTCCTGTAATTTGAGTCCACTACACCTTAGAGATTCCTACTATCCACTTAGAGAGTCCTGTCAGACTATGGTGAAGTGAATTTATAATTATAAATTCAATTATAAATCATTCAATCAATTGATCAAATTATTCCATGCCCTGAACTCTGAGATGTGCATCTCTTCATAATTGGAAATTGACTGCAAAACATTTTTTCAATTCTAGTTTGGAAGAAAAACAGAAACTATAGTTTGCTGATTGGGATGAAAACACAAATGAAAGATGTCCAAAGGAACCCAGGGAGGGAATTGAAGACTATGAGGACAGGAATGAGTGTGCAAGTCCAAGGATGGCCAAGCTATGAATCAGCACTATATACAAACTGGCCCAGTAAGTTTATGACAGAGGACTTATTTCAACTCAAACTCTAACGTTCAAGTCTTATTACTTTGTCAGAAGACACTGCTGCAAAAATGCAAGAAGTAGGCACCAAGTAGTATTAGTATTAAAGCACACGAGTTATCTGAAATTAAAGACCAGTTACAATTAAAAAATAAATAAAAAGTTTATTCTGCCTGTATTAGCAAATAATTTCTATCAGATAAATTACAGACCTGTGTGGATATTTGTTCTAAGAAGTAATGATACTTTTTCTTTTTTAAAGGAAATCCGTGTTTTTAGTATTCATGTGAAAATAAATATCCCAACTTGATTTCTAAGGAGAGCTGTAAACAAAATAGATGTCAAGGGCAAAAGAGTTCATTTCTGTGCAAGTTAACTGAAAAAATTCAGCTACCTCATCCTTAAAATCCAAAATATTAGTGCTGCCTTAACTACTACAAAAAATTAAACATCTCAATTTCTCTAAGAGTATTTTGCTAATATGTTGCAAATCTCTCCATCACTGAGCACTATTAAGCCAATTTGAATGCAACATTTTTTTTCATTACCTGAACAAAATATTGTATTTATATTTTGGATTTTCTCCCTCAGGTGTATCAGTTTCCTGTTTTATAAGCTGTATTTCATTTTTGCCATTTAATGAGGTATCTTAGAAATTCAATCCATCTTTAAAATATCATTAGGCAAGAATACACAGTAAACATCACTGAAGAATTAACAGTTAATTCTGTTAATAACTACACTGAAGGCAACACTCAAACAAGGAACACTCAGCAACTACAAGATTATTGGATGCCCCTGATTCACAACTGGGACTTTTGTATCTGTTGAGTACACCAGGTTTTTTCAAGTTCACTATAAAAGTTTTAAATGAACAAGACTTTTTACATTTTTAGTCTTAAAAAAGTATTATCCTTTATGTGACCAAAGACATTTCCATATTTCTTCTTTCTACTATTTTTAGGGGATGCTTCTTGGAGTTTCTGGCACTGAAGGACTTCTAAAGTAAGGATATGATATCAACTAATGCCACATATCTCACAACTGCTTGTCCATTCATTCCCCATTTGCCTTTCTCAAGGATCATACAAACAACGTTTACTGCTTCTGACAATACAATTATTTTGCTTCTCATCCACTTACTTATGGATGAAAGAAAACTTATTGGAAATAAGTCTAAGACAGAGCCTGTCTTAGCACAATGGGCTTTTATACTGCACTGACAACATTCTGAAATTCAAAGGCTATACTAGAAGACAATTTGCCAAGTACTCCCAAGTATCTTCAGAGACATAAAGAGTTAACAAGAACAGAATATTGTTTTATAAAGGCTTTTCTAAAAAGGGTTGGCACACTTTTATTACCAGAAACAATTAGGGAATACTTGTTTCAGCATTTCTTCTGAACTAGAATGTGACTGTATATTTTAAAATAAAATTGCAATACGAACTGCCTGCTAAAAGCACTTTTTTTTGTTTGTGCATTTTGTTTGTCACCCAGTGTCACACTAACAACTCTGCATCTCATTCTAAAGCACATTATACTGTGAGATAAGATGAAAAAGACAGTTTTTAATTTCCCCAAGGGGAAAGTACTTCTGTTAAAAGCATCTTTTTATCAGACCACTCTTTCTGAATTACCAATAATGCAAACCAAGGAATTAGATATTGTACTTTAAAATTTAATATTTGTTCAATTCTTATTCATATCCTATAGTCACCCCCATGTGAAACAGGGGAAAGTATGTGCTAAATGCTTAAACCTACTTAAGAATCCAAAAGATTGAACGCTCAATCAGTATGCTGTCAGGTCATGATCATTCATTCAACAATGGAGGTTTTTATGCTTTTATTATTGTAACTAAGCTTACATTTAACTTATCATTGTGGAAGAAGAAGAAAACCTCATCTGAAAGATTAATTTCTTCTGCGTTTAGAGGAAGTCTTTTAAAACCTGACTTTTAAGAGCGTCCTTAGATTTCAATGTGTCTTTCACGACCAGAAGATCAAGTGACAGAAAGCTACGGATACAGTAATAGACCAAGAACCTTGGCTACAGCAAAGTTAAAACAATCATAGCTCTTTGCAAAGTTCTGAATTTAAGAGGCTTAATATGAGCATAACAAACTAAAAATGAAAAAGTAATGCTAAGGAAACTGTTCCAGTACCATACCTTGATGTACCAATACTGTAACGGTGTTTTGGGAGGGTTACCTGTACTGCAAAATTGCTCTATTTTGCATGTTCAAACTCATTTCTGTGTAAGAGTTCACATTCACAGCAACCTAGTTTTGATCAAAAAAAGCTAACCTTGAACATTTTTTTCTTGCCGGTACCCAGCCAACAATGGCCAGAAATAGTGGACTCTGACAGGTAAGCCTTCTTCTTTCATTATCTTCATTAGATCAGAGGCAATAGCTGAAAAGATCCAGAAAGGTACAGTTAACAAACAAGTTTATAACAGAACAAGTATTTAAGTTAAAAGATTAAGTTAAAAGATTTTTTAAAAATGTACCATTGTTTTTTGACTTCAATGCACAAAGTAAAGCCATCTGTAGAGGTGCAGCATTCATGTTGGCTCCTTTCAACTCATCACAGAAATATTTCACCTTAGCCACCGGCTGTAATGAAATAGAAGACTTAAGTACTGCAAATTGTTACTGTTCAATGAGAATCACTCTACCCAACAAAGAGCAAATGGGTACTTCAAATACTTCTAAGAAGCAATTTTTGTTGGCTTTGATTGGAGTAGTCATCACACACCCAATATATACCAGCTCAGTAGAGAGAAAGTAGCAAATAATCACTCATTTAACTGTAGGAACTGGAGCCAGCACCCAAGGAAGGAAGTATAATGAAGGCGGATAAGGCAATACCAAGAAACCAGTAACTGATGGTGCTGGACAAGCAAACTGCAGGAGGAATGGACTGATTCCAGCGGGGGACTATAACATACAGGAAAACAGGGGCTTATTTAGACAAGAGAAAGCGTTCTTCCATTCTCAGTAGAGATGTGGGCATCATAGCTGGCAGTCTAGACAGCCAGGGAGGCATGTGGAGGATGGGGAAAATTCCACTCTAAAAGGGGTAATAATTTAAAGTTTACAACTTGATTAAAGAACAGGTTTAGATTGGATCCAGTTATCTGCCCACAGAAAGGGGCAGGTGGAAGTTGATTATGCTGTTCCTTTTTCTCCTCAGCAACCCTCAAGAGTTCCTGAAAATGTCCTCTTGTTGAAGGTGCCCCTGCCTAATGCTCCACTATCTTTCCTTCCTCCTATTCAATCTTCTATGCTTCAGCCCACTCCATGGCCCCTGAAGGGACATTTTGCAGGAAACTTTGGAGACTCATGGGAGATGAGAAAGTAAGAAACTAACTTTTTGCCTGTCTGCAGTTGCATTTACTTGAATGCAACATACTGACTGTAAACTACCCTAGAAAGTCACTCATATGTGTGTGGACACCTTCTTTTTGACCATTGCTTTGAACCTGCAAGCAGCCATTCCCTATTGAATCTCATGTCCCCTGCAGGACTTCACATACCTTATTCGTATTTACACAATGTTGTATGAAGAAGTTGCCACAGTCCACAGCATTTCCATCCTCAGACTCTAATGATGGTGGAGGAAATGTCTTCAGAACTTGAAAAGCTGTGTCTTCCAGGCCTTGTGTTATTAAACTCAGGCAAAGATTTGTAGCTTCTAGAAGTTGGGGGGGGGGGTTTTGTTGGGGGGGGGGGGGGGAAGAGAAACAAAATGCCACCATGAACAGTTTTTGAAAAAAAGACCCTAACCCTTTCTGCATTATGTGCAGAGGAAATAAACCATTTATTTTAAAGCACTTAGTATACTTTTAGGCATTATATGAAAAATGATAGTATAATAATAAGCAAACCATCATGGTCCAGATACAAAAGCATTACATCCAATAGTTGTGCACAACCATTTACGTCTAAATTATCAGTTCATTGCACAATTTACCAAGCCTGGGAGATGCATAATCCATTCATTTCAATGCAATTCTAGCAGAAACTCAGTTATAAACAACACTGAAATTAACTGAAGTTCTAAAGTAGTACTGCTGCAAATTTATCACTTAGAGCTTGGTCTGACATTCATTTTCACTGAATAACAATGCTAAAATACATCAACTTTAGGAAGACCTTAAGTATTGCTAATACTGCAATTTGAAGATAAGTAACTTGGATTGGCTAATATGAAATGCTTATACAGTATAGAAAAGGCGTACTGCCACATAGGTGCTAGGAGAAAAAAACAAGCATCTATCAATTAGTAAAACCAGTTGTCATATCCTGAATTTTCTTACTGCTATTGAAACTATTCGTATCCATCTGCCATAGTGAGAAACATAAAACATTGGTTAAAAAAATCTAGATTAGTGTACTTTAATACTGTCAAGACTATATAAAGTCAATTCATAATGACAAGGCACAAATGAGACAGGGTTTTGACAGAGTTTATAAACATACCACACATCTTTTGACAATTTAAATATAAGGGTGAAACAAGAAGGGATGTTTAACTGATCTATACATTTTTAAAATGCATTCGAGAGAGATAACTTCCTGTTCTATGTTTATTACCATAGAACTGAGCTCCCCAAAGCAAGCAGTAATGTTAAATTCTCTTTGACCTTCTATTAGCAGTGTAAAGTTGGGTACCAATAAGCAATCTAGATTTCTGGAAACATTACCTGGAATATATGCTCTATCATATCTCATCCTTTCCAGAATATTTTGCACATACTGAGGATATCCAGCCTTAGCAAGAGTAAAAATGATTTCCATCAAGTCCCTGTCTAAAAGGAAAGTGTCAGCCTTCTCAATACTCCCCAGGATCTATTAAAGCAAGAAAAAAAGTAATTTGTACAAATTCATTCCTTATAAATAGTAACAGCAACACAGATAAATATATCAGCACAATGCAACACTGCATGGTTTTGCCTGTGAAAGCATGCATATTGACTAATGTGAATGCAAAAAAAAAAATAAAAAAATCAACAATCCCAAAGCATGGGATCAAACATTGATTTACTTCATAGGATAATATTTGTTTAAATTGTGTGTGTAAGTTATACTAATAACATATATTGGCAGAATGGTGCATGTACAGGAGAATTTCAGAACATTCAGTGAAGCAAAATATTGTGCTACAACTTCCTTTTTAATGTGCAAACATGCCCTCACAGCACAGCGTTCATTCTAAACACACAAGGCAATTTCCTCAACTGTAATTTCCATTTAACCGGAAGGGAGATCCAGAAGGGAGACCGAGGGATTCAACAACCCTCAAACCCCATACCACACTTGGTAGTTGTTTCTCTACACATTCAAGCAGAATTCCCATTAGAGAAATTAAAATTATTTAGACAGCATCAGTCCTTTTCCAGTCATATGATCCTTCTGTGAACTCTGAAGATTATTTTTTGTGTGGAGGTTAAAATGAATGGCTCAATCTACTACTATGCTCAGTTGATGTAGTTCCCAGTAAGTTCACAGAAAATAGGCTTAAACTGAAGAAAAGTCAGTTTAAAAGAGTTATGGATCTGACTGTTAAAACACAATTTCTCCTGGAATACTTATAAACCACTCATCTTCAACAGCACCCACTCCTTTCCAGTACTAATCCTAACAAATGTTTATGCTTCTTATACAGTTATAAGGGTGATGAAGGCACAGTTTTTCCAAAGGCATTATGTGTTGGCAGATCTCCACACCAGTTTTTAGCATTCTACAGCTGTATAGCATGATGACTAAAGCTGGTGCAATGTAATAGCCAAGAATGTCATCTGGGAAGTCTTTGGTTCAAATTTTGCCCCATATCATATGACTAGGTAGCCTCAGACAAACCAACCACCTCATCTTACTATTAAGTATTAGTGTAAGCCGCCCCGAGGCTTCGGCGAATGGGGCGGCATAAAAATGTTTTAATAAATAAATAAATATTAATATAGTACACTTTTTATTGCATTAGTTACTGGTACTTTAGAATAATGCACAGGTAAGAAGTGGTAGAAGTCTATTCTAGTCAGAGTTGTAGCTTCACAAAGCAAAGTGCATTACCTCTTCAATTTTGTTTATATCACCATTCTCAGCATATGCATTCAATAATGCAAGGTAAGTATCGGCACCAGGTTCAATTCCAGCATCTCTCATCACAGAAAGGATATTCTCTGCATTCCCCATATCTCTGAAGCAGGCCAAGGGGGTGCAGGGGAGGAAAATACCAAACATATAAATATAGTGATAGATACAATTTTATATATGAATAACAATTGGTTTTAGCCCCTAACCTATACAGGAAGCCAATCTCCTAATCCTAAAAATAATCCACAAGTACATTTTTACCTAACCTTAGTTCTTCACACAATTAAGGGCACAATCCTGTGTGGATACCCATAATCTTCTGAACTCAGAGGATTATAGGCAGCCTACGCAAGTCAGGAGGAGAGCAAAAGTGGCAGTTGCCTCTGCATTCCTCCCACCCTACAAACCAGCTAGATGGTCATATTTGACTGATTGCTGAGCTTTGGACCAGAATGAAAGGAGGCTGAAGTACTGCAGGGATATGTCGTATCTTGGCAGCTGTGCTGGTTCTCTCCCTGCTCCCAGAATGCACCAAACCTTCCCTGAGATCACAAAAGAATCAACCAGCACACTGCTTTCCTGACTGGCTTCAGAGGGGGAGATGCTCTAACACCGAGTCTAAGCTTTGGCATATGGAAACATGGAAGTGCAGAAGCAGACAGAACACACTAGTCAAATCCTGACATCATATTCAAAGAGGCACTGCCCCATGAAATGTAAGAAGGCCTTTTTGCATTCATGGAAATCCCATGCACATCAGCACAAGCTCAGATCACTGGAACAGGGGACAGGTAAGTACTAAAGAAGGTACTACAAGAGTGCTCTACTATAAGCATTAATATTTTTTTCAAAACAGATCCACTTAATTAAGGTAAAATAATTTAACAACTATTAAAAATTTACCCAGCTCTTGCATGGCCAGTCACAAGCGCACTGAACACAGACTCTGTGATTGAGAGCTCTTTCCTTTTCATAAAATCAAGAATCTTGCTGCAAAATGGAAGAAGAAATCAACTATATTGTGTTGGAAAATGCAAGTAACCAAACACTGCGCCTTAGTACTAAGCACTATATGCTAAAATATTTAGAAAGTTATTTCTAAAAATGCTATAAACAGAAATTTGATAGAAAGGACACACATGTATAATACTTCATTATTTATGAGCTATGGAACTCTAGTTTTGAATGTAAAGACATGCATGATAAAATATTTTAAAACAAGTTTTACAAAAAATGGCACAGGTCCATTTCTCTTAGTTCTTTCTTAAGTGTTCCTCAGTGACTGACAATCATAGATTTAACCTAAAAGAGAAATTCTCTATTTAGTTAGGTTATGTTGAATGCAACATTCTGCAGCATGAAAAGGCATAGAAACCTTTTCCAGCAGCAAGGCATTTTTTCTTGTGACTTGTCGCTTACAGTTACTCTAGTCCTACTGTTTCACTTACAATGACTGGGTTCATACAACATGCCAGCCCACTGAGAGTTAATCTACTGCTGATAAGCTGCAGCATATGCCACCCACCTTTATGTATATGCAAGCCCTGACAGGGCTGTTGTGTCATGCAAACCAGGCTGATGGGCATCATTTGAGGGATAAACAACCCTCACATAACCCACAGTCTGCATTCACATATCATGCTGAATCCGGGTTTATTGCAACATGAATACACCACAGCAAGGCCTGAGTCATTGCCCTTTACCTTTCACCAGCACAGCTGAGAGGAATTAACTGAGTTTGTCATGCCATCCATACGTCAAATTGCAGTTAACACTAACTATGGTTAGTTTTACCATTTCGACTTCAGAAACCAGGATTTGAAATTAGCTTGCTTGAAATTAACCACAGTCAGCACTGACCATAGTGTGTTGGTCTATACAATATGACAAACTCTGTTTAAGTAAAAATAAGAGGCTTTCATGCTATCCCCAGCTATGCAGGAAGAGGAGACAGTAGAAAGTTAAGAGTGTGGGTCCAATGCTCAATGTGGCTCATTCCTTCTTGTGCACGTTATGCTAAATCACGACTTAGCTTATTGTGCAATCATGGCCAAAAGAGGTAATTCTACTGCCCATCAATATCAACAGTTACTCAGACAAAGCCATTTGTCAATAAACTGCTATGTAACTGTTCTGTTTTAGAATACTAACCAAATTTCAACAAGCCTTAAAATGGAAAATCAAAAACTGCCTACCCCCACAGCAATAATGCCAAGAGCCAGAGTGGTGTGGTGACTCAGGTCATCTGGGTTCTAGTCTCCACTCAAGCATGGCGCCAACTGAGTAACTTTGGGCCAGCCACGAACTCTCAGCCCAACCTATCTCACAGGGTTGTTGTGAGGATAAGCTTGTAAGCCACGTAGAGCTCTTTGTAAGGAATAAAAAGGTAAAATATAAATTTAATAAATAAAAATGGTGCTTCTAATTCTCAGTTGGTGAAATAGGCACTGCTCTTTAAAGCTGATATTGTGTTTAACTACAGTAAGGCTAAAATCCTACATTTATGTACCTGGAAAAAAGGTCCACTGAACTTAGTAAAATTTTTGAGTGCACATGCATAGGATTATGCTGTAAAATGCAATTTACCTATAAAATACTTAAAACTATTTATGCAACACATTACCTTGCACCATCAATATCACCCTTGCTGCAGTAAGCAGCAACCAATCGCTGGTATGTGACCTGCAGAACAGAAGATGAAAATGAGACTTTATTGTGCGTGGTGGGCAGAAGGGAGGGTAGAAGAAGGGAAGTCATGATAAAGTACTTACTCGATTGGGTTGCACATTCGCTTCTTCCATCTTTGTTAAGAATTCAGTTGGAGAAAATGTGTGTTCATTCTGAAGGTAAATCTTTAGCAAAGCATTATAATGACTTACATCATATACGACACCTAAACAAAGGTTGTAAAAATAATATTTAGTAAAATCAATTGAAATCATATAAAATGCAATCCAATAAAATAGTCTAAGATAAATGTTGTGCACATATAGATGGAAAATGCACGTGGCTGCACAGAATAGTGTACTGCACACTATGTACTTCTGTAATGCAAAGCTGAAGAACACACAGACACTAATCTGGCACACATAATTACTGCAGCCCCATTTTATAAGCCTTTTTCTGGCATTACAGCTTTTCTCTGCATGTTGCTTGGATGAACAGAAATCTGGAAAGACGGTTGCCAAATCACAAGGTTATGCAATCAATGCAGACAGCAATGTGCAGCAGGAAATAGACAGAGTCCCTGGAAAAGTAAGATTCCTGATTGTTTGGAGCCCTCCTACACATGTAAGTTGTAGGCACAGTCATATACAGCTGATGTTCTTTTGAAGATGTGGGCAACTTGAGCTTGCTACATATGAAGAGGTCTATAAGTGCTGCTAATCAAAACCAGGCAGGCAATGGTTTGGTTTGATTGCTATTAAGGTCTACGGAAAAAATACTGCTAGGGCTAGGCCACAGGCTGCAGTCTGAAACCAGAAGCTGGGACTGAAGATCTACAAGGATTAAGAGGAAACCAGAAGGCAGGACTGGAGGACAAACCAGAAGCTCAGATCAAAAAGCAATCCAAAAGACAAGCAACTGTTTAGACAAACCATGTCGCTCAGCTGATACTCAGATGCAATGGAAAACCCTTAATATTCTTTCCTGTCCAGAAAGATTCAGTGGCTATCCTTGGTAGCAGATTCAGGCCAGGTCTAGAAGTTTACTTCCTATGAAAATGGCGGTTGCAGTTTGCTCGTTCACCACATGGGGCAAATGTATGCTGTGTCAGACACTTCACTAACCCTTCCCCACCGTGATACCTTCCAGCTGTGTTCAGCTACAACTCCAATCACTGCCAATCAGCATGAGAATACACTGGGAAGCTCGTGTTATGTACTTCACCAACTGGGCAGTGACCAACTACCCGACACTAGTGTTGTACAAACAAAGTACAGCTTGCCTAGTATGGATTATTACTAAACATGATTATAAGCAAATGCAGAATGGGAGGGAGTGGGGAAACATGTAAGCCTAAATTTTGTTCAAGATGTCCTGGACTAGGGATTACGGTTATGCCTGAACTGTCTAAACACCCATGTGTTACAACAGAATACCACTTAAAATCTACTATTTAATGAAATAACTTAAGAACTGTTTTCAGCTAGGTCAACTGAAACTGGAATTGGAAAATTGTACAGACTGTCATCTAAAAATTTATCAAACAAAAACACACAAACAATACACTTATTCTCACTAGCAATTAGCAACAATTCAATCTACTTGAACAAAGCATAAGGCTTACTGCTTACAATTAACACCCCTAGATGTCAGCAGAGCACTCAAAATCTGAAAGAAGCCCTGGAAGTATTGAATCTGACACTATTTAAAGAACACCATTAAGACATTTAGTATTGAAGTATTATAATTCAATTAAGCTTTACTACTGACAAAAACTAACAAAAATTAAAATCACACCTCTATGATCTATTTTACTTAAACAGAAGTAGAGACATACCCAGATCTTTCAGCTTGGTCCATATAGTATGAGCAAGTTCTGTTCTTTCATTTAGTTGAAGCTCAGGCAATAATGAACCACAGCTTCTCAACAGCAGCAGGGCCTGATTACTATTAGGATAACCTGATATGGAAAAAGATATTTGAAAATGCAGTAAGAGCAAATCAGTGATATAACACAGAAAGCACATGACTTAGTAGTAGAACAAGAGATGGTCACTTTGCTGCTCAGGAGAAAATGTGAACAATATGACCAGCAAAAGGATATAGCGATGTATTTCGCAAGGTATTTTATAAATAGAGAGAAAGCCAGTTTTTAACCTATTTGTCAATATGTATTGCTTCAAGGCTTGGAGAGGGAGTACCCAAAACCTTTTTGGGCCTCTGATCACATTGGGAATTCTGACCAGGTGTTGTGGGCACCACCATAAAATGGGTGTCATTGCAAGAAAAGGGAATGTCCCAGCAACAGAAAGAGTGTGAAAAGTAAAACAGCACTAACAGAAGAGGGAAGGAAATACCTAGAAATGAGCTGGAAGGAAGAGATAGTAAAGACAAGACTAGAAATGGAAGGCGCCTAGGAGGTAGATATGTGAAGGCCAGGAAAAGAACTGGACAAACTGTGGGAGAGGTATATCTTCCCCACAGTCCATTTCTTTCCCCAACTTGTCCAACAGGAAAATTAGAAATGTGTGAGAACACAGAAAAGTCTCATGAAACAATTCCTTTTGAAATGAAATGATTGAAATATTTTTTAGACAATGTTCTACTCTGTTCTACAGATTTTTACATAAAGCAATCTACAGTATTAAGTAGTGATAAACCTATGTATGAGTTGATATCCAAATATATCACTATTCCTAAATATTGTGTTTGCATAACTGTTTAAAGTATACTTTTTGATTAAAACATTTCTTCTGCTTCTTGTCAGGTGTCAAATTTAAGGTATGTGCTGAATATGATGGGATGCAGCAACTTGCCACTTTCTTTTCATATTGTGTATTTTCACAATTTTACATGTACAAAAGCTAACACTTACTAAAGGGTAAATTCCATTGAACTCAGTGGATATTTTTCTGTGTTGATATGCATAGGACTGCACTGTAAGAAATTTATACCTTTAAATGCAATTCCAATTGTGCTTACCAGGAGGAAAGTTCCAATAAAAAGAGTTTATTTTCTGAGTAAGCATGCATACTATCCTTTTATGTAAGTAATCTTTAAAGGGCTTTTGCCAGAAATGGCTGAAACTATTTAAATAAATAAACATATACTGCATTAAATCATGTTTTATCAATTTCAAAATTATTCAAAATAGTAAAATTACATGGGAAATTGAAATTATTCATTTCACTTTATTAAAATAGGTTTAGGATAGGTAAGAAAGTAAGTATTGCATATATTTCAATCCTGCCCCCATATCTGATTTTTTCATGGAATAGATGAGGAAAAAAACATTTTTTCCATGACTTCAGTGTTTCTGCAAGTTTTACATGTCGGTGAGCAGGAAGGAAAGGGAAAACACAGGAGGGGGAGGAAGCAATGGTGGAAAAACACAATCCTTTGGGCATGCAATACTTGCACAATGGCATCTCTATTATGTATACAACATCACTGGTGGATATCCTGGGCATCTTAACTATGCCCCACCATCTATTTGTTCTGGCTGGTCAGGGGTGTGCAGAAGGCTTCCCATTGAGCCATACTATTGCTATGACAGCAGCAGAGGTGGGTGAGAGCTGCGCAACTCTATATGAAGAGCAGGAGAGCCAGATGGATGCCAAAAGATGTTTCTACAGGCACATCACACACAACCATAGGATTAGGGATCCTTGGACTGAAGGAAGGAAGGAACTGTCTTGGTGTAGTCTGAATCCATACTGTTGGGCAGAAAAAAACTGAGTGCTCTATTTTTCCATGGAAATGTTTCCATTTCATAAGTTTACAATTAACAATAAATGGGTATTAGTTGCAACCTTGGCAGTTTCAAACCTGTAGATCAGTGAATGTTAGCTTAATAAGCACAGTTTAAGTTGCTAATACCTCCATTTTTCCCTTTTTCCTCAATTTAAACAATGCAAGGGAACTACAATCTTGTATAACTACTCCAATAATAAAATCTACTCAATACAATATTTAAATCACATGTAAAGGACAACTAGCCTTTCCAAATGTGATGCCCAGCAGAAGAGGAGTGATATTGTACTGCTGGAACAAGATCATGGTTGAAGAAGCTACAGAATCCTGCATTATCACAGCCTCTTCTTTCTCCTTCTCAAATGACCTCTTTGCCTCTTCCCAAAGTTGGATCTGCACTCTTGGGAAAGAGCCACTAGTGTTATTAGCTAGTTATTAGTGTTATTAGCACTGGCTGCAAGGCAAAGGTGGCAGGGGGAGGGAGTGGAACAGCTTCCTGAAGTTATAGGAGTATCTACTGCCTTAGCAGGAGACTGAAAATTCTTAAACTGAAAGTTCTGCAATGCAAGTTTCCCTATGCAAATTAACATAGTGTGTTGAAGAAAGTTGGCAATTCAAAATTTTCCAGAAAACTCACATCACTAGTTTGAATTGAACTATGTCTGCTTGTAATATGAAGATGTGCAAGTGAAAAGCCAGTTTAAACTAGTTCTAACTTGAGTGGGCCAAACCTTCAGCAATATGTATATGGTACTGAGTATGTTTACTCTGTGCTATGTGAGTATCAGCATACATTCACACGCAATTGCTGTTCCCGTAATAACTGTACAAATTTGTGGCATATTTATGATAGACAGAGAATTTCAGTACCACACTAATGCCTAAGTGCACCTTTCTTAAAGAAACTGTTCATAAATGCTTTAAAAAAGTACATACATAGCCCCCAAGGAAAGCACATTTACTGTATTACAATGGAGGCAAATGCTTTGAAAAGAAAAGACTGTGCATCAGATGTGGAAGCTTACCAAACAATAGTGCTATTTCAATCAACCTTACACAGAACTGTGCCAGAATGAAGATCAACATGCAGACCATAATCACATAGATCACAGGTCCTCAAACTACGGCCCGTGGGCCTGATCCGGCCTGCCATGCCCATTTATCCTGCCCGCTATAGACATTTTGGACTCGCTGCGCACATGCACACGGATGGTGAGGCAGCAGCTTGCTCATGTGGAGATAGTTTTGGATAGTTTTGTGCACACGCCCAGCAGCAGCTTGCTCGCAAGGAGATCCATTTCTCCAAGTAAGCCCAAAATGATCTCCTTGTGAGCAAGCCAGCGCCTCACCATGCGGTGGCCTGCTCTCAGGGTGATCATTTTCTTCGAGAGAGTCCAAAATGATCTTCTTGAGAGCAAGCCAGCGCTCCGCCCATCATTTTCGACTCATTTGGAGTAAACGATCTCTGCGCATGCCCCCCAGTCCAGCCCGCACCCCCCCACCGCCTTGGCGGCCCACTCCCATTGCCAGCACCTTTCAACTGGCCCCCTGTTGAAAAAGTTTGACACCCCCTGACATAGATCATAAAATAGATGGATGGGTGTATCATCAGGCCAAGAAAGCAAGACCCAGTTCAAGGTAACCAAATAGAATGCCAAGCTCAAGCCATAACTCTATTCTTTATTTCACCTTAGAAGCAAACATACACTGGTAATCCCACTTTTACAGGGAACAGTTAAGGAAATTTTAAACTCATCCTCAATTTGAGCTTTCAGTTAGGGGATTATATATATTCCCTAATTCATCTGCCATATTAAAACATGGGTAAGGATCATCCCTCATACCACATTCCATATATGGCAACATAGTGGAAGCTTCGTGCCAGTTGTGGGACTTTCTGACAAATTTCCATGCAACTGAGTTTTTTCTCAGTCCCACTCTCTCCTTACTTCTCTTTTTCCCAGATCATTCTGAAAAGTGCAGGTATAAGCCCCATAGGAAGCTTGATATGAACAAATAAAGGGGGGGGGGGTGAGAGTTCAACCTTTTCCCCATCCTGACTGTGGGGCCTTGCACTAACAAATTTGCATGAGGAGAAAAAGTACCATTCATGCTAATACAGTTGTTCCCAACCTTGGGTGCAAGGTGGCATTTCAGGGGGTGCAACCCATTTTATAGACTGTGTGGGGCATGGAAAAGTTTGGGAACCACTGTGTTAATGGGAGATTCCATCTCACCCAGATAAGGATTAGGAGATGTGGAAGTCCTGAACAGGATTCACACCTCAGTAAAGGATACGGAGTTACATTTGGCAACCCACTCAATCCTACCTGGGGACTCTTGACTGCAATTTATAGCAAGCTGCAAATGCTAATCATGGGTGCAGTTCTGCACTCAGAACAAGCAAGATGTCTTGATGCTGCTGCTGTTTAGAGCACAGTGAGCCTTGCCTGGGCACCTTACTAGTGTTGTGAAATTTGTACTACTGTTTGTGCTGCAAACTGTCCCAGGGCCCTGGGATGCTCACGGATGAAATCTAGGAGGGCCTTGCTATAGTTCTATAACCTTGCTGAAGTACGCTGTATAAAGCAACAGAAGGAAGTGTTATAACATGGATGGGAAAAAGGGAGATGAAGGTCTACTGGTTGATCCCAATAGACTGGTAAGACAGTCTGATTTGCAATCAACAGCAACAACAAAAGCCTTCTTTCCCTACATTAGGTTGCTAAAATAAAAATGACTGGGAGGAAATCATGAGTACATTTTTGTAAGAAAGGACGTGAGCTTGATTCTGGTGCTGAGCACAAATTCCTGAGAACCTGTTTCTTCATTCTTAGCACATGTCTGCCTACCTGATGCCACTTTTTCACACCTAGGCTCTGGCTGGTGGACTTCAGATTTCTTGTAAAACCAAAGTAAATTACAAGGGGCTAAAGGGTGCTCACATCTGCCTTTAGGCACTGCACTGTGTTCAACCACTTCCAATGGAAGTTAAATTTCTAATCTTATACCAGTGCTGTAAAAGTTTCTTTCTTTTGTATCAAGAAATTAATCTTTCTATCAAGAAATTAATTTTCACAAGTTATATCCATCCCTTAAGTAAAATAAACTAAAGTTTTTACCGCAGTCACCAAATTAGTAGACATAAAGTAACTATCTTTAGAATACATTAATAATGCCAAGAGTTTTACAAAAATGAAGCCACATTATTTTTGTTTTCCTTTAGTAAAGCTGAAGCTGAAACAAGAAGGTATTTTTCTACCTGTTCTGCACACACTGTCAAATATTTTTATAAGCAGGTTTTTAGTAATGCGCCCCATTCTTCTGACAGAAGTATCCAGTTTACTCAGAGCCCAATCAAACTGTTGTGCCTGCTTCATTCGAACAGCAGAAACAGATGGTTGCTCTTGAACATCTCCCTTCTCTTGAGTTGCAATTGTATGAAGCTTTGCTTGATGGATCAGGTATCTGTAAAGAAAAACAAATACTACAATTAAAGCAACATGACACAATTTTAATACCTCTGCCATATATTAACACAGACTAATGAACTCTCATAGATAAGAAGTAGATTTCAGGAAAAAGTCCAGAATCAATAACAGTTAGATACAAATCTACAGCCACTAGGCCACTTTGCACAATCCAACAGCCAACTGTGCTTCATTTCAGCCATGGTCAATATGTCAAGTCATTAAAACAACCCTTGCATTACCCAACAACAGACCATGCCTTAAACAAGCTTTGGTGGGTTTTTTTTTAATTCTGGGAACCAGGTCATTATCTAACAGCCATTTTCCAGACTGCCTGAAAACAAGACCAACTGTCCTAACTTTGCATTGGCATTCAATCTGGCAGGACACACCTTGTTTAGACATCCATATATGAGCAGGGAAAAAAAGATCTGCCTCATTCAAAGTAATCCAGAGGCTTCCCTCTTGAAAGCAAGAAACATCAATACCTGTGCCTTTGATCCACTGAGGATACACAACAGAAGCAAACCTGAGCAAATCAAGGATAAAGTTGAATGAAAGACAGTAAGTGTCTGCCGGGAGAGAGAAGCCAGTTAGAGGAAAAACCTTTAAAATGCTTAAATAAAATACCTATAAAATTGATCTATGTACCAGCATTTTCAAAAGTTAATCTACAGAAATTGCCTCCATGAAGGCCCATATATAGTGGAGTCTGCTTAATTCAATTACCCTGATAGGCCACTTTAAAATATTGGAAAATATTTTAACTTTGTGCATGTATAAATTTATTAAAGAAATGTAAATTTCCTAGTAACAGAGTATTTTATCAGCTACAACAAAATCAGCTGAGAACATGAAGAATTTTCATGTAAAATTAATCTGTTTTAAACACAGACAATACCTATTCATGATCAAGGTGTCTTGCCATAGCAGACTGTACCTATTTGGCAGCCAGATCTTCTCCATCTTTTACTAATTTGGCCTTTTAGTATTTGTTTGCACCAGGAGAACAGACCCTTGGGCCAGGAGGCCAAATCCAGCCCACCTGGGATGGGAGATTCAGCCTACTTGGGCTCCCTCCACCCACCCACCTTTTTCTGACCACTGGCCATTTGGCAGTTCCGCGCCTTTTGCACAGGGTTCTCCTCATTCTAAAAGACTGGAATGCCTCTCCTAAGGCTTAGTTATTGGCTGTAAAAAGCTTCAGACTAAAATATGCTGGTATTTTGGCCCCATCTTCTTTGCTTTGGTCCCTATCCCATTTTGTCTTCAGCCCAACCCACCATTAAAATACATTCCCAAAAGCTTGTCTGAAAATGAATTCAGCCCTTGGGCAGAAAGGAAGCCAGCTCTCTGGTTAGCTGTAATTTATAAAGATTTCAGTACTGTATGGTCATTCTCTCCAACCTGGAGCTCTCCAGATATGTTGGACTACAAGCCCCTATCTTCCACAGGCCAACATGGACTGATGGGAGTGGCTAGTCTGACACATTTGTAAGGCACATTGGTGTAACTGTTGTCAAAGTGCTAAGAATTGGCATGTGCCTACCACCCTATCCCCATTGAAGATCCAGCTGTTCCAAGCCCCACCGCTAAGGAGAATTATTATTCTGGTGTGAGATTGATTCTTTTCCGCACTGGAGCTGACACAGGTTTGCAACTAGACTTGAAAGAAAAATAATGTAAGAAGAGGAAATCCAATTATGAGATGGATCCATTCCATAAAAGTAGCACAGCTCTGAGTTTACAAGAGTTACACAGGGCATGATGGGCAGGACTTTTTGGAGGACGTTTTGGAGGGCATTCACTGAAAGGGTTATCATAAGTTGTAGATGATTTGACGACACATAACAACAACTGGGAAATTTTGAAAATTAGGCATCCTGTGACTCTAGCCATGAGCAGTACATTAATTCTTACTTCTAAAGATAATTCATAACCTTGTAAACAATAGCTTAGGGTCAGGATACACAAAGGATTGTTTCTTCCCACATGCACCCAACCAGAGTTTGATATCATCTTAGTAGTCCTTTTCTGGGTGCCGCCACCAAGTTTTTTTTAATACTATTGTATGACTCATAATTATAGTTCAGTAAGTATTCTTATTGTAAGCTACCCAGAGAGCTTATTGAACAGTGATGGTGAACCTTTTAGAGACCGAGTGCCCAAACTGCAACCCAAAACCCACTTATTTATCTCAAAGTGCCAACACTGCAATAAAACCTGAAAACTGAGGTTTTAGTTTAGAAAAAAACAACTCACAGCCAGTGCAAGCAAATACACACACACACACACACACACTTGGCAGTGTACTTTCAGCCATGTGAAAGCTCGGACGAGTCGCAGCTAATGAGTCGTGGCTTGCGATGTCATCACCTGGCACCACTACTCCTTTTTCAAGCATGAACATGGTCCCTATGTACGCTGTTATCTGATGCTTGGCTGTGTGCCAACAGATGGGGGACTCGGCTCGCATGCCAACAAAGAGGGCTCTTGTGTGCCTGCTGTGGCACACGTGCCATAGGTTCGCCACCACTGGTCTGAATACTGTTAGGCACAGAGAGAAACAAAATATCCATTGCGATACCCCAAGGAGACACTGCTCAGTGTTACTACTTACAAGGATGTGGGAATTATGATTAATGGAACAAAGTCAAGTTCGTGGTTTAGGAAGTTTGCTTGTTCCCATAAAAATTAACCAAGTTTGCCAGGCTTGGTCACAGCACTAAATTGCAGGGTTTTTTCCCTAAAGGATACAAATGCTTCATACCCTACCTCATAACCAAATCCAATAGTAACACAAAAGTCTGAGGTTTGCTGCAGCTTACTTTCAGCATGGTAAACTATGATTTAGCACTGCAATCTCTTATGCGCAGCCCATTAGCACCATTGTGTCTACAATATCCCATCTGGCACTTGCTAGCTGTTCCTAATTTTAAAAAGATTTTTAAATTAAATAATTAAGTGGGAGGCTGGCACAATGCAGATGATGATGAGAATGACAGTCACTTCCATATCCATAAGGAAAACTGCAGTGTTCAACAAAATTATTTCACAGTATTATAGCAGGGGTATAACTTAAAGCACCTCGAAAGTCATTATGTAACTTCTCCCAAATCTTAGTACTAAATCCATTGAATTAAGGGAATGAATTTGAATAAGGAAGCAGTTACTGTTAAGGTATGGTCTTCTTAGTATTTTATCAGCAATGTCTAAATTCAGAACGCAAAAATTTTCACTCAAAATTGGGTCTTAAGTGTCACTTGAAGTTGAGAAGATGCCTTGTCACAACAACTACAGGAACCACTCTCAAAAATGTTCTCATTGCATGACAAGAGACTCACTGAAAGTGTGCAGGGCTACTTCTCGCAGTTCAAGCTTTGCTTTGTAGACAAAAAAATTACACATGATGCAGACTGCAATTGTGTCAGAGCAGGCTGGCCTGGCAAGAGCTCCTGACCTCTTGTTTAGAAATGCATACAAATAGCCTGTACACTGCAAATAACTCCTACCCATTCATATGTGGGCTAAGCAATAATTTTGTCACAACTGAGCCAAGTTGTTTCACTGGATTTGTATGAACCTTGCCTGATCTTGTACTACCAACAGGACCACCATTCCTAAGAGGAATTTTCCTTTCCTGGATTCTTCCTTTGTCATTCTTAATGATTGAGGGCTGCTCTTTCAGTCTAACTATTCACAGCCAACAGGTGAGGTAGAGAAGAAAGCCAGCTGCCATCTTCAGGTTTCTTTAGTTGTTTACTGCTGGGAAGCTTACAAAGCAAAGTGACTGACATCCATCTTTAATATTTAGGGTTCAATCTCATGTCACACTAGTACAACAGCACTTTCCCCTTCTGTCCTGCCCCTACAGCCTTCTCTTTAGCAATCACCCACCTTAATTCATTTGGGAGGGACACCCAGAAAAGGGCCTCTGAAAATGTTAGCCTTACCTTACTGTAGACCCACTAAAAGGAATAACTTGAAGGAATTAAGTTAGACTTATATTAGATACCTATTTTAGTCTCTACATTACACAACATGAAAACCATGTACCCCAAGTAGCAAGCAAATAGAAGAGAAATGCTAAAGGAGAACAGGGGAAATATACCCAAACCACCCAAGATATCCATGCTGGCTTACCTATTCATTGCAGCGCTAATTTATGAAAAAGTAGGTCAGTTTTTTCACATTCAAAATTGCTATGAATAAGAGACCGGATTTTTAAATAACAGTTTCTGTGTTTGCAGGGCTAACTGCATATATGAATGAACCATTCAGATATAACAGCACCACAGAAAGTGTTTTGCATTACTTCAAAATGCAGCATTTTTCTATGGAGTCAGTTCAGATATCTAACTCATCTAGAATTCAAGTGACGCAAGTGTCTGTGGGAACCAAACTTTTAGCTCTTAAGTGATCAAATGACAGTACTAAATGTATAAGCAAGCACTGGAAAGATTTAGGCCTAGTTTACACACTGAGGAGAATCAAAGCCCTATTTGTATGCCTACTTTCACAACCAATGGCCTGATCCCGTACAGCTTATGTTCTTAACTACACTTTTACATGCATATCCCATCTTTCATCTAAGGCGTTCAAGACTATAGGTATGATTCTGTCCCTTCCCCACCATACAGTCTCACAACCAGCACTAAATAGTGACTGGCCCACGACACTCAGTGGCCTTCATACCTGATGGGGGTTTGAAACTTGGTGTTTTGGCATATTGTATACAGTTATGGTTACAACAAATGGCTATTTTAGAACTAGAAAGGATACGCAAAAAGGTTATCAAAATGATCAAGAGACTGGAGCACTCCTGCTTGAGATAATTTTACAAATCAGAGGTTTTGACATGTGTACAGGGGGGCAAATAGGAGGAGCCAGTGTGGTACAGTGATTACATTGTTGGCCCTTTGGAAATCCAGGTTTTAATCCCTACTTGAAGACAAAATTCATTGGGTGACTATGTGCTGATCACTGGCTCTCAGCCTAACCTCTACAACACAGAGTTGTATGAATAAAACACAAAGAAGGAAGATTGTATAAGTTCTCGGGTCCTTGAAAGAAAAAAGGCAAAATATAAATATAATAAATATTAGAGGAATGTACAAAATTTCTTATGGTAAAAGAAAACTTTTCTTTCTTTCTCTCATGTTAGAACCCAGGGTCATTCCATAAAGATGATTGGTGGGAGATTCAGCACAGATAATAGGAAGTTTAACATCAGTTAAACTATAGATTTCTTTCCACATAACATGGCACTAGCCCCCAATTTAATGGTTCAGAAAGGAAATTAGACAAAAGCAGATAAGATAAAGTCAGCAATGGTCACTGGTCATGATCTTCTGGATTCAAGGCAGTATGCCTGGGAATGCAAACTGGAAACAAACAACGCGATGACAATGTTGTCTCTTTCATCTAATTGTGAGTTTCCCAGATACATCTAGTTAGCCTCTACTCCCAACATGATGCCAGGCTGGATTAAGGCTCTGGCCCAATACAGCAAGACTCCTATGATTAGATCTGACCTAACAGTCTAGCCCAGCTTTCCCCAACCTGTTACCCTCCAGCAGTATTTGGACTACAATCCTAGACATATCCAATGAACACAAGGTTGGAACAACGTGGGTTCCAGTCCAACACATCAGGCTGGGGGAAGGCTACTCTAGCCAGGCCTCCCCCTACCTGGAGTTCTCCAAACTTGTTTGGCCTAATACTCCCATCAGCCCTGGTCAATATTGGCAGTTTTAGTTGGAAACAATGGAAGCATTGCCCCACATGTCAGGAAAGCATTAGGAAGGCCGGCGGCTGCTCCAGTCCAATTTTTTCCTGCCTGTACCCCAAACTCAACATTGCCAGGTCAACACATGCATTATATCTGGGAATGGCAGTGTCTGCGGTCTAACACACCGCTGAGACATTCAGATGGAGAAAGGCTGCTCTAGTCTAGCCTTGAGCCCTTCAGAAGTGTTCGGTCTAAAATTCCTATCGCCCATGGCCAATACTAGCGGGGTCAGCTGCGAACGATGGGAGTTGCAGTCCCATCAGGAGGTCGCCAAGCTGAGGAAGGCTGCTCTCACCGCTACACCACATAGGCCTCTTAGTAGGACTTCCTCCCGAGTGCGCTAAAGGCTGGTTCTAGGGAGAAGATCGCTGAGTCAAAGTTAAGCGAGGGCAGAAGAAAGGGCAAATGAAGCTCTCTTCGTAAGCTCGCTCTTTCTCCCGTCGTCACCGCTTCTTCAGGCACCGGCGAATTTCCCGCCCGGCCAGCTAGGGGAGATACTCACCTGTTGCTGCTGCGAAAGGCTGCGGCCTGCACTGAGGGGAGCGGCGCCGGGGAAGAGACCCTGGCCAGGATCGTGCGGCCCCCTCTCAGGGGCAAGAAGCACGAACGGAGCCGCAAGGCCGACCTGAGGAACACAGCCATGACTTTCCTCTCATGCGCTCGCAGCACAGGCACGCACCGTTCAAGGGGGAGCACGTGACTGAGGGCGGGCCCAACCTCTGAAAGGCGGAGGGGGGTTGACTAGCGTCGCTTTGCCTGATCCCCTTTCTCCTGGCTGGAGAAAAGTACACCGGAAAGCCGGTATGTTAAAATTACAATTAGCATTATTTCTAAGGATATCTTTCGATATTCTTGCGCTTCAGGCCACTATCTTCTTTTTTAAAGTTAGTTTACCCCTCGAGGAAAAAATGGAACAGCCCCAAAAGGTCGGATTTTTTTCAAGGGTGAACTTGGCGACCATCTTGGGCCATTCAAAAAACTAACCCGAAGTTTTTTAGTGAGTTTTATTAATTATTATTTCAAAAAAAACGCGCCAATTCGCAAACGCGGCCACAGAACTTTGGGGAAAAACGTACGGGTAGAGACAGCAAATAAAATTTAAGCGACTGAGTAAAGGCTCCCAACACCTTCAACTTTGGGAAAACTGTTGGTTAGCCCCTCTAAAGGCGTTTGGAAATCACGTGAGACAAACCTAACTTCGCCGACTTGGGCATGCGCTGTTGGCTATGCAGACTTTCTGACTGCGCTTGCGCGGTTAAGAAAGCTCTGCGTTTATAAGACAAGGCAGCGCGGTTTGTTCTGGGCTTTCGGGGTTGTAGAGCTCTTCTGCTGCTGTTGTAGGATGTACTGAGTTCTTAGTCTGGAAGTTCCTTCATCCATTGTGTCCTTATCCTAGGCAGGCTGCGTTCTTTCACCCCCAACCCTCGCATCTGCAATGGAGGAAAATGCTACTGACCTCCTTACAGGGTTGTTGTAAGGATTTCTACTAACTTTCAAGGCTTTGAACCCTTGGAAATGGAATAAAAATGTCATTTGTATTACTTTCCCCTTGATACCAAAACGTCTTTTCAAAGAGAAAAGAGAGCCAGTTTGGTGTAGTTGTTAATAGCACGGGTCTGGGACTCAGGCGACGTGGGAGCTAGTTCCTGCTCTGCTATGGAGCCATCTGAGTGACTTTGGGTCAGTCACAAACTTTCAGCCCAACACACCTCACGGGAAAGTTTTGTAAGCCACCTTGAGATCTTTCGAAAAAGAAAAAGGTGAAATATAACTCTAATAAATAATGCTGTGATCCTATGTGCTCTTGTTTGAGAGTAAGCCATGTTGAATGTAGTTGGGTTTCTTAACCTTTAGTATTTTTATTCTTAGAGTCACAATCAGCATAGAGGCTAAACCCTTTTACAGAGCCAACCTTCTCCAAACTGGTACCTTCTTGCTGTGTTGGGACTGCAGCTGCAAGCATGACCTCCCAGCATGGCTATTCAGAAACAAGTTAGACCATACCTACACAGCCATATTTGTGTCTTGCCATCCTGGGCTTCTGTTGTGTGGTCAGAAATAAGTATGAAAGGACTTTGTGACTAGCAGATAGATAGATGCTGAAAATTAACATAAGAGCCATGCTGGATCAGACTAAAGGTCCATCTAGTCCAATATTCTGTTTGCACTGTGGCCAATTCAGGTTCTCGTGGGAAACCTACAGAGGGTTTATGACACAACAGCACCCTCCTAACTATGTTTGCCAGCAACGGGCATAGGCAGTATGCCTGCATATACTAGGAATAACAAAGAGCACTCTGTTCTTGCATCATTGCTTTTGGTGGCAATGAGATGCCTTTGGAACAATCCCTGTGGGTCTGGCTGCCTGTGGCATCCTCCAGGGACTGCAAATGCTGATAGCTGCTCATTGCTGTGCCTGCACAGTATTCCCTTAGTTTTGTCTTGGGGACTGTAAGCCAGCTGCCATTTTCAGTTGCCCAAGACAGAGTGGCACTATCACCCTACTCAGGCATTCAGAAAACAGTTAAAAACAACGTGTGAAGAGAAGGGGCATTCCAGCCCTGCCCCACACTGGCTGCACTAGTTTCAAAGAAAGAAGTCTGAAGAAGCCCATATCCTTTACTTATGAAGGCTTTCCAGGCCAGTCAGAATGTGAATTACTCAGCATTCTGGCATCCGTGGACCAGCTGCATGGTTACAGAAGGGCTTTTGACTTCAGACCATGGGTAGAGAGCAATGGAAACGTGAGGGTGGTGTTGGGCAGAGGGCTGGCATTTTCCTTCTGACACATTTAACTCCAACCTGAACTGAGCACCTGAATAGGGTGTATGGCACTGGAGATTTCTGTGAAATGCAAGATGATGGTGCAGCTGCAGTTGCTGATGGTGTGGCCCCCAAGAGTGTTCATATCTACTAGAAACCCTTTCTGCAACCTGGCCACCCTGGCTCAGAATGATAGAAGCTGCACTCCTACCATATGCAGAGGGCAGTTGGCTAGTGAGGATTGTCCCAGATTTTATTTATGTATTGATTAGATTTATATTATAACTTGCCCAGGAAGCCTTATGGCTAATGGAGACAGATAAAAGGCTAATGAATAAAATAACTATTCCACTTTTTTCTTACAAGGAATTCAAAGTGGTTTATATTCTCCTCCTGCTGCTCTCAATCTTACTCCCACAACAACAGCCCTGTGAGCTAATTTGGGCTGAGAGTCTGTGATTGGCCCAAAGTCGGCCTGTTGGCTCAGAGATGAGAACCCAGATTGCCTGAGTCCCAGTTCTGCAATCTTAAGCAGTACACCACACTGGCTTTAGATGCCATTTTGCCAAAGAAGGAAGACATGTGAAGCCAGGCCTGGGAAACATGCATGTGCGAAAGCAGTGATTTGCTTTTTCTTGTTTCTCCCAATCCTTACCTAGCAGAGGACAGTTTAAGAGCATTGAGGAATAAGATTATCTTGTTGGTTTATTAAGCGTTGAGCCCCCCTCCCCGTTTAGCTACAAGTGGCATTCAATTTGGCTAGGAACAGTAAAATACAGATTAAAAACTAAATTAACAATGTCTACATAACATGAAACTAGTTAAAAGCATAGTAAAAAATAAACAGCATTCAACCAGTTGTGCTTAAGCATTTTATAATATGGTTAGGTTAAATAATGTATAGGTTCTGTAGGTAGCATGGAATACAAATTGACATAGATATTCAGAAACTTAATCGGAAGCAAATGATTTTCATCTCAGGAATGATGATAGTGTTCACCAATGGAATTACAGCAGACTATTTTAGTGTGGGGGTATAGCTCAGTGGTAGAGCATTTGACTGCAGATCAAGAGGTCCCTGGTTCAAATCCAGGTGCCCCCTAATTTTTCCTTGAAAAAAAGGGAGAAAATCCTTCTTCCTGTGGCTTACTTCCTCCTTTTTTTAACATGTCTTTCTGATTTGTTAGCCTGTAAGCTATTGCAAGGAAAGCAATGTTTCTGGAATGCTACATGGGTGTTGGAAATAAGTGTTTCCCTGTGAATGGGGATGGGGGGGGGGCAGACACACACATGCAAATGCATTCCCAATTGCCATGTCATTCCCCAGGTGGGATATTGGGTTCTGCTACCTTGAATAGTTAGCTGGTTCTGAAAGTAATCAAGAAGCAATGAACTTCCCTGAATCTGCTATTCTGTAGCTGGAACCAAATTTTTATTTTGCTGCATCCATCCGGTACACAAACTCATACTTTGTAATGCAGGGGTCTCAAACTCGCGGCCCGTGGGCCACTTGTGGCCCGTGGGATGATATTTTGTGGCCCCCACTTGATATCAAAGTTTAGTGATAGTGCGGCCTGTGCATTTTTCTCACACGCACCTGCGTGAGTCGTTACCCTGGGTGCAATGTTCCCTCTAAGCTGCACGCCGGGACGGGTGGGGCACGGGGGAAGGGCCCTGCGGCCTTCAAAGCACCGGCGGCGCCCGGGCCGGCCTCCAGGAGCGATGCGGGATGAGCGGCCCACCACCACCGCAGTGAATACTTGATGCGGCCCAGCCTCACCCAGACTCTACTTCCAGAGGCCCCCAGGTAAGTTGAGTTTGAGACCCCTGTTGTAATGCTTTTACAAAGTGCTATAACCAGGAAGGCACCTGAGTGGCCCATGTTCATTCTTTCTGCCTGAACATCTCCTATGTGAGTGTGTCCCAGAGCTAAGAAAAGAATCCTCTAACTCTATTTTCAGCTGCCCGCTTATTGGCCCCCCTTATCTGGAAGCGACGTTTGTTGGGAACCTGGCAAGGAGGCAGCAGATGTACCGGAACTGTGTTTTCTGTATTTCTAAACAAAAGTATTCCAAATTATCCCACTTCCTATTAAAAAGTAGAAAAGAGTCGTGTGTAAGTATGTCATACCAACATTCATGCCTAGAAAAATGAACAGGTATTGTTGGAAGAATGCATAGCAGTGAGAAGGCCAAAGGGAGAGGGAACAAAGAACCTGGGCACAATCCATTACAGCCCATTTGCCTTGTGTGGATGTGAAATTCCACTATACCCATTGAGAAAAAGGGCTCGGTGTGTATTGCAGGTTGCAAAACCAAGAGCAACCAAAGCTAATGCATAACTTGACTAATGGCAAAATGGAGCTCTGCATGGAAAAACCTTGTGAAAGTGTTTGCATGACACATTAGGCCCTCTGGGAATTTTATTTGCGCACTGCTTGTAAAATTCCCTGGTGCCTGACAAGGCATCAGGCACAGCAAGGCATGCATCTTCCCCCTTCAGTCTCTTCCCTCCATCCTCTTGCAGTATCTGGAGGAACACTGCAGGAACACTGAGGGGAGCAGGATGGCAGAGGCCCAAAACCGGCAGCAGAGTGGGACTGTTCCTGTGCACTGGATATCAAACCTGGGTTGGGGCAAGAAAGGAAGGGCCACCTCACACTGGGCTCAAAAAGCCATCACGGGGCAACCTGCCACTCCACTGTGGGATGCCACAGCCAAGCAGCATGAAGACCATCTGTGCCCCTTTCCCACTGCTCAGCCCACTGGGGAGGACAGGGGAAGAGACTTTGGGTGCCCAGCTACTCTGCTTGCCTTCCTCTCCAGGGAAGGCGAACAGAGCAGCTCCGTCCTGTCAGCCGCAGCCACTTGGCCTCGCTTTCTCACTGGGCAGTGGGACCAAGTGACCGGCTCGTCTACTGTACTGCTTCCCCGGGCTTTTTTGCCATTCCAGCCAGAGTCTTAATTTTTGGTTGGAGTATGGCTGAGTGTTGTCTTCTGGGTTCAAGCACCATCTAAAGCCAAGATGGATTATTTAAACCCTGTAACAAGCTATCAGTAACTAGGTGGTATATAAGCTACCCCACCAGAACAGTGCTGTGTTTGGATGACACATGAACACCTGCCCCTGGCTTATAAACCACCAAGGGGTTTTGTATGGTTCAAATCCATACTGTGTGTATGTGTAGAAAATCAAGATTGAGGCCAATCGCACTTCCCTGGGTTGAATAGTAACTTTGGGGTGATTTTCATTGGAACTGCTGTATAGAGAGAATTTAAAAACAAGCAAGCAAAAATTCACATATGGCATCCCTTCTTCTACAGCTATTATTTGCAACAACAACAAAAGATGAAATAAAGCTGCAATCCTATATACCTAGGTGTAGGCTCCATTGAACTCAGTGAGACTTCCTTCTGAGTAAACTGGAGAATATTACTGAGTATCTGAATGTTAGTAAAATTGTTGTTTTAATTTATATAGCTTTGAGTCATTATCCCTTAGCTGTATGCTATTTTGGTTTATTGTCTTTTGTTTATTGTTTTTTAATTGATTGCTTTTACTGTCATTATGTATTTTTATCTTACTGTGATCTGTTTAGAGGGCCCTCTGGCCTATATAGCGGAATATAAATTTAATTAATAAATGCATACACGTGCATAGGATTACATTGTCAAGATGCAATCCTGTGGCTAGCTAGGGTATGCTGTGGACTGAATGACTTTTTTTCTATCTAAACATGCATAGGATCATACCCTAAATGTGTAGATCAATTTCACTTCTTGCTGAGCTCTTAATTTTTATAGTGGTGTGGATACTTCTACTCTCGACATAGGAATTCCCAAGATAATCTCCCTACAACAGTCTTTACTAACAAATTACAGGCAACATTTTCAAAGCAATTTCATCAAACTACGACTGGTGTCTCTGGAATAGGTCTTCCCTACTGTCCTTTGGGAAAGATGTCACCATCCATTTGATTTATTCTAGCTGTTCTATCCTCTTTGCTCTTCATGTTTATATGGCATGGATACACAGAATGAAACTGTCTGTGATACAACCCCAAGCTCTCATGTCTGAATAATTTACCTGGCACTGTACCAGGTCTTAAGAACCTGGGAATCACTCTTGTTCCAGATGACAAAATAAAAAATCAGGCACCATACATATATCTCCATCATGTTCCCACTCATTTTTTCTCTAGTTTTGCCTGGTTTAACGATTAAGCCTCTTCTCCTCCTTTCTTACCTCTCCTGATTAGATTAGGTTGCATTACGCTTGGTCATGGGAACGTAGTTTGAGGCCGAGCTGGAACTGTAGGGACTAGACAGCAGAGACTCTGAGAAAGGAATGGGGAATCTTTATGACATTCTTTTCAGTTAAAGCAAGCAGCAATTGCCCATACATGCTGAACATGTAGGCCCAGCTGTTACGTGAGGGGCACAAGACCTCTCGATTTAGGCCCCTTCCTTGTTTCCCACAATGATGCCTTGTTTTATTTCCCATGTGATATTTCCTTTCCCTGGCAAGCTCTGTCCTTTGCATCTATTAGGACTGTTCTCTGGTCCCTGAGGCTGCTTTCTCAGTCCCTTCCATTTCTTTATGTCCGTCTCCCATCTGCCTTTTATCTCTGTTGCTGTGGTTCTTTTTTGAAGAGGGAGAATGCAAACACTCAAAGTCTGGACTTTTTGGCTGCTGCTGTTAAAATAAAGTTCTACTGCAGTGCTTTGAATCCTGCCATGTTAATTTGGCAGTGTCATGTGTTTGCTCTTTGGTGCATGTTACAATTGTGCACACATTTCATGTTTCATTTGATCCATCTATTTGTTTGTTTTGTGTTATGTATGTTGTATTGCAATAGTTGTGGATGATGCAGATCAATGATTATTAAATACTGAAATATGTTATATGCCAGATCCTTTCAGAAGTGGTACTGTTATTTCCCCCTCATTTTACATTGCTGAAGACTTTAAATTATGGACCTTATACTTCCTGTATCTCATGTACCATATTCAGAACTCTTGTTTGTGCTGTACAAGGGTTCTGTAAATTTTGACTAGTACCAGAGACAGATTAGCATAACTGATGGCATCTACTTTTCAAAGGGGGAGTGGCTAAAGGCACTGGCTACAGTATGCTGTGAGTTGTAGGCACTTTTTCTGTCTAAATATGCACAGGGTTACACCTTAATTAACCAACGCTGCATCTGGGTGCAACAAAATAATTTTTGCGCTAAATGCAGCCTAGCTTAATTCAGGAGCAGACAGAAGATAGTTTGGGAACTACTATTAAATCTCTGGGTAATTTTTGGTAGATTGGCAAGGTTTTCTGACTCACACTGGTCTAGCAATATCAACAAATAGAAGGCCTTTCTTCACTAAAAGGCTACCTGGAGGGAAACAGGAATGGCTTGTGTGTGAAAGGAAAGGTGAGCTTGGTTCTGGTTCTAATCACAAATTCTCCAGCTGAGTATGTGCTTAGAGGCATTCTGTTCCTAGTATATACTTGCCCATCCTAGCCACTATTTTGCACCTGGCTCTGGTTAGTGAATTTTAGGAGTCTAGTAACAAACAAGCAAAGGTAATCTTGGGTTTCTTGAAAAGAAAGAAGGAAACAAAACCAGATCATGGAAGGTTGAAGTTAGCCTACTGCTAACCTACATCAGCTGGAAAAAGCAGTCTCCATTTCCATGACTGTGTCAAATGCAGACAGAGATGAGAACTAACACTGGAGTGAGAGGATGGCATGTACAGGGGGCTATAAGTCTGGGAGGCAGATTCAGGGAGTGAAACGATTCATCAGTTTCAGCAGTAAGGATTTACTGAGTTGAGGCAGAAGCCTTTTCCTCTCCCCTGCCATCTCCATTAAACATTACCTTGCCTCTGTGTACTGCCCTTCCAAAAGGGGCATCATCGCAGATGGTTGGGAGTGTCGTAATGGAGACTGGAGGCAGCTGCCAAGGCTGCCCTGCTGTTGATGCCACCCAGGAACACTCCTGCACAAAAATATTCCATAATTTCACAAATACCCAGTTCTCCAAACTCTCCCTTCAGGTTTGATGCCTGTGAGTAGCATGGCAAATAGGCGGGGGCGTTTTCCCTCGGCCCTGATGCTGTATAAGAATTCCTTACTCAGCACTACATTTCCTTCAAGTTTATCCACAACCTTCTCCTTTGATCTGCTATGACAAGATAACGATTCATTATTAAACACGAACCCCCTCCCCCCCAGCCTTCCTTCTCTAGACCTGAATGACAATCCCTTCTCCTCTCGGTGCCAGCTGCTGGGGAGAGTGAATCTGATAGAGCAACTGGTCTGAGCTGAAGTCTACCGTGATTCCTGCTGGCAGGGCAAAGGCTCCTTTAATTCACAGGGGGCTTTGAAAGCACTGAGATGGCAGAGATTGTTGTGGCAGAAGCAACTGGAAAATGTCCTGAGATTGAAACACAGACATATTAACATCACCCTTGTGGATGCTAATGACTTGCACTTTAAAATGCCAGAGGCTCATCCTGTCAGCTAAAACAAAGAAAAAACACATTTTTAGTCTCCAAAGGCCTTAGATCTTTCCAAACTCTCAAGGCAAATTCAGCCATAATGTATTTTTGCAGTAGAACAGGGCAGCTCATGCATGCCACTGGGGGAATCATTGCCCAGTGTTGCTGTAGGCAAAGCAGTCAGTATAGCTAAATAAAACAGCAGCTGGAAATATTGCAGAGGTTAAGCTAGTAATGGTGCATCATATAATGCAGTGCAATCAAATCTAAACATTGTCCAGGCAAAAGGGCGTAACTTAGACAATCCTCTTCAATTTGTTTTTAACCATTATGTACATGGGTAAAAGAATCCAACAGACAAGAATATCTTGATAAATTTTGCCCCGAATAATTCAGCTAGCTGATTAAAGCAGGGGGTGCCTAAGCTTTTTGGGAGGATAGAGCATTTGAAAGTTTGAGAGTGTCATAAACACTCTCACAAAATGGCTGCCAAAATGGGCGCAGCTGGACACAAAAGCAGCTGTCATTGCAGACAACAAACTGTTGTGACCAAAAGAAAAGCAACTTGCCCCATGCAGCTAAGTAATAGGCAGAGGTGGGGTCTGAACTCCAAAGCACAAATTCACTCTGTCCAAGCCAAACAAAAGTAGTGCCAGCACCTAGCTGAGGATGATGGTGATGACGATGGTGATAAAATCAAATTAAAATTCGGAGAGGTAGGGAGCCTGGTGGGAGAAGGAATGGTACCCACAGTCGTGTTGGTCCCAGGATTCAAGTATTTTTAAATAATGCCCTATTAACAAACTATTTTACCCCAGTCCTGCTAATAATGCAGAAGCTTGAGCAGGCTTTTGCAGAGTACCTCCATTGCCTTGAGAACAGGATGTCCTTATGGATGCTGTTCACATAGGTCCAAGCAGATTCAGTTTGACTTCCAGCTGGGCTATGCTGCCCATCACTAAACTGAGAACTGCATGTCTAGCCATAATCAATATAGTCAACATTGCCACAGAACCAAATTAGCTTCAGAAGCAGCATGACACTGAGTTCAACTAGTCTAGTATTGTCCAAATTAGCTGACAATGGCTCTCTAGAAGTTTTTCCAGACCTGCCTAGAGATGCCGAGGACTGAACCTGGGTCCTTCATTTATGCTGAGGGCATCTTATTTGGGATGGCTTAAGGCTTCACCTCCTCCATTACAACCATAGGACTGTTTCAAGACATCCTTGACCCACATGTAGCAGGGCATACTCTAGACCAGACATGGAGATGGTGGTCTGAAAGTGCGGAGACTTTAAATCAGTCCCTTTGTCATAGTCAGAACTTCACCAACTTGTATTTAGACTTGCAGCCCCTTTTTCCCTCTCCAAGAGTGGGGTAACCTATCAAGATGGTCCAACCTCAGAAGTTAATGGATCTGGTTGATTTCCAGAAAGCCCTGGGATGGTTGTTGGCTGATATGGCTGGTTCTCCTGTTGAAACCCAAGTTGATCTGTGGAATGCTCCCAAGCCCTGTTAATCCATCTGAGGCCTGCTGTAATACACATACCAGGCACTCCATCCATCCAGGACTTCAAATTACCTGTTATAGCAAATGAATCAGGTGAGATGTCCAGAGTACACCACCTTGCCCAGCTTTTTGGATGAGTTTCAGTTGGTAGAGCTTGAGGATACTGATACCACTTGTGTACTGGACCTTGCCGCTCTTAGCTTATAAAACCTAGCAGGAAGGGAACAGCCAGCTGTGCCAGAGGAAGCAACAAATGTCTCATTGTGGGAGGGAGTAGTCCCTAGCCACTTGAAAAGGGCAGTGGTGAAACCACTCCTGTAGGAACCCTCCCTTAACCTGGAGAGTCTTCATAATTTTAGGCCAGCCAGCTCAAGATGCTCTTGGCTAACTGACTACATCGATGCCTTTGAGCTAGGTTGCAGGCTGGGTTTTGGCATGAAAACAGCCTTCTTCATCCCATATAATGACCTTCCTCAGGAGAGAGCAAAGGAAATGTGATTTTGTTGATTCTCCTTAATCTCTGGACAACTCTTAGTACCATTGTCCATGGTATCCTTTTGAAACAACTGTCTGAATTGGGAGTGGGAGAGACTGTATTGCAGTGGTTTTGCTCCTACCTGGGTGAATCACTCCAGAAGGTGGTACTTGAGGAATACTGCTCATCTCCATGGGTTCTCCTGTATGGGCTTTCAGACAGGTCAGTTATGTTCTTCATGCTATTTAATATCTATATGAAACTACTGAATGTGCTCATCCAGAGTTTTGGAGTGTGCTGTCATCAGTATGTTGATGACATACAGCTGTCTTTCTCTGTTTCGTCTCCATCAGGTGATGCTGTGGATGGGCTGGATCAGTGTCTGAGTGCAACAAGGTAACAAGGAACCAGGTAAGGGCTAATAAACTAAAACTCAGTTCAGAGAAGACCAAAATGCTATTAGTGGGTGTTTCTTCTGACTAGATGGATAGTGCTCAGTCTGTTATGGATGGGGCTGCACTCTGCCTGAAGCCCCAGGTTGGAGTTCTCCTGGAAATATCTTTTTCACTTGAGGTTCAGGTGGGTACTAAATTTGGCCCAGAATTACTCCTCGATGGACTGGCTTCCGTAGTCTATGGTTTGATAAACTCCCAGTCAGATTGCTACAATGTGGATGAAGATGGCTCCAAAGCTACTGCTCATGCAAAATGTGGCAGCCACCCTGATAAAAGGGATAGGAAAGTCGGAATACATAGCAGCACCTGCTTTCAGTGGCTGCCTGAATGCTTCTGAGTCCAATTCAAGGAACTGGTTTTAACCTTATATGGTTCGGAATCATAATACTTGATGGAGTGCCTCTCTCAGCATGATCCTACTCAAATACAAGGTCATCACCTAAGTCTTCATCCAGGTATCTCCTTTGAGAGAGTCTGAAGGAGGCCACAAGGGAGAGAGTCCTCTCAGTGGTGGCCTCCCAATTACAGAATGATATCCCTGATGTTTCTTTTCAGCAAACATCTTCTGTGAGATCTCCTGCGGATTTCTTCAATTCGTTCAAGAGCTCTCTCAGTCAGTGATCATCACAATAATTTCAGTGCAAAAACAAACAAAACACAAACTTCAAACAGATGCATGTTAAATGCAGGAATGCATTTCATTTTGTGCCTAGTTTTGTCCCTTTCGGGACCAAAAGGCTCTTCATCTCAGTGGGGCTGTTTCCATGAGCTGGCATCTTTATAATCAACTGCTGTTTTTTCTCTGCAACTCTCTCTACCAAGAAGAGTCTGGAGCAGACTTCCCCAAACTTGTGCCTGGCAGGGATGTTGACCCACAAATCCCATCATCCCCAGTCAGGATGGCTGATTGTTCTGACTGGGGATGATGGAGGACACAAGGTTGTGAAATGCTAACCTGGAGTTTTTATTTATTTAACTGGTAAAGTTAAATCTAACTGTGGATGAGGCATGTATAACCAAGATCGGGTGGGTAAACTGGGAGGAGTTAGTCTTTCCCAGTTGTGTCCACCTCGGTACTTGGTTTAGCATCAGGGTAGATGTGAGGACCAGGGAGTAAGGGGCTGCCACGGTCTATAGGAATTCCATCTCTCTCTCCAGGCTCCCTATCTGACAACTAGTCTGGAGTTTATTTATTGATTTGCTTTTTATCCTTCCCCATAGCCAAAACTGTTTGCACTTTGTGCTGGGCCAGGGGGACAGATTGGAAATTCTGCTGGAGTACTCTATACTGGATCCTTGCCCCTTCTGGGTTATAAAAGCCAGCAAGAAAGAGATAACAGGCTGGGGCCAGGGAGGTCATCAATGCTTTTTTGTGAGAGAGAGTGGTCCTATCCTACCTTAAAGAGGTGGTGGTGAGACCACTTTTCAAGAAACCCTCCCTTGATCAGGAAAATTTGCACAACTACAGGCTTGTAGCAAATATTCCATTCCTGGGCAAGATTCTAGAGAGGGAGGTTGCCAATCAACTCCAGGCACTCTTGGATGAAACAGATTGTCTGGATCCACTTCATTTGGGGTTCAGGCCTGGATTTGGCACAGAAACAGCCTGGCTTATCTCAAGAGTCACTGACTGTCCCAAAGTCTTCAGGGACCTTTGTGGCAGCATGGGGATTAGAACCTGGGTCTCCTAAACCCTTCTCTGCATGGGGCATTTAACCTGCTGTTTCAATGAGGCTTCTTCCAGGTTTATTGCATGAAGAATGCATCTTTTGCATGAATTCCCCAAACCTAAACTGTTTGCACTTCTCTGCCTTTCTGTATATTCCAGAAAGCAACCACAAGATTGTTGCACCACAACAGATTTGTGAATTTTCACAAGACCTGTGTTCCGGTCTAAAATTTAATGCCAGACATTCCTTGCTCTAAAACACACACACACACACAAACACCTAAAAAGGCTGAAAAACACAGGAGAGACTCTGGAGGACAACAACATTGTGAAAAGGCCCCCACAAACTTCCGGAGGAAGAAATCCCAAGAGCACAATCAGTGTCTTGTGTAGAGAGGCCCCTAGCCCAATAATCAAGTCCCTAGGCCATGGTGGCTTTCTGTGTATGCCCCTATGGCAATCTCTTCTCATTTTGGCAGTCACTATGCTCCAGCTACATCATACCTCTTTGCAGATTGAAATTATAATCTGCTTTGAAAAGCAGGGTATATAATGAAATCATAAAATCAAGTCCCACCTCTGCTGTGCCTGTCCAGTCAGAGAGGAGTTGGAGGACTTTAAAACACTGTTATCAGTAGAATTGCATGGGTGGATGGACAAATACAATCACATTTGTTTGTGAATTAGAAAGCGATTTCTTCCTCCCGCCTTGGCAATCCATTTTTGGCCCTCTGTAATTTCTGCTAAGCATCAGCAGAAACTCAAGCTAAGAGCATTGACCCTCCATACTTATTCATAGAGTAATTTACATATAACTGAACAGTTTGTGATTTAAAACAAAACACTTCCATCCGACATCTTCTCACATTCTACTACTGCTGAAATTACGGGTGATCTGGGAAGTTTCAAGGTCTATAGCAGGATGCCATCAATTTATAAGAGCAGAAGTTTTCGTATGTTATCACTGAGCATCTGATTCTCTTACTTGGAGTGAAGCATGAACTCTGTAGTCAGGAGTTATTCGTCCATTGTTGCTCTGTGTGTGTTCTGATTGGTGTCATTTTGGGGCTCAAGCTTTTTCTCCCCATGGTTCCTTCAGACTCTAAGCTAAGTAGGTTTGCTAAACAATATTGAGTTTCCAGTGTGATGGTTCCGGTGAGTGGCATCTTTGCCAAAGGGGTGAGCAGCTCAGCGCAGCTGTAGGGGAAGTGCCAGCTTTTTATACTTGCAAATCACATGCATTTGCAATTAATGTGGAAGAGTGCTTTTTTCAATATTATACTCTGTGTGAGTATGTTTCGCTTGAATAAAAGGAACGAATCACTTAGGGGCTATTCTGTTGCGAAGGATTTTTTTTAAATCAACACTTTAGCTGCTAAAATGTTTATTTTCACACAAATAGATGACTAGGAAGCAGAAAAGGTTAGATCGTTCTTTGAATCCTTTTTTTGACAGCACGGTTTAAATAATAAAAATAATTTGCACCTCTCGCATTGTAAAATACACATGCTTGCAGTCATGTGGCTACTTTTACGAAAGTAATAAGAGAACATCCATGCAAATTATGTCTCTTTGAATGTATCTTCACAATTCTCTGAGCTGGTAAGGTCAGCCCTGTGCACCAAAGAATCCTCTTTCTGGCTTGTAGGGAACGAAACACTTTTTCTTGTAAATCGTCTGGTTCAGCCTTCTCCAATTTAGCATCCTCTAGATGTTTAGAACTACAAATCCCATCCACTCCAGGCAGGAGGATCTGTGTTCAGGCATGATGGAAATTATAATCCCAAACATGTGGAGGGTACCAGACCAGGGAAGCAGTCTGAAGAAAGACCCCTGGTGGCCAAGCAAGCAACTACTGCTATGAGTTAGGTGCCCACGCATAGTTAATCCAAGTGTGCTTCTGTATCAACCCAGGTCTTTCAGCAGCCTGTCCTCTTCAGTATGCAGCCTTCCAGGGCAGCCTTGTTCCCTACTTTAAAGAGGATAGCTCTCTATTTCAAAATATCCTGTTTGCTAACATCCTGCCATGGAATTTTGAAACATACAGTACTCTGCTTGCTTCCAGGTGGACATTCTCATGTGCTAAACAAGCAGAATACTTTGTGCAGATATTCCATCCCTTTTTCCTCAATGGATTTTCCACAGGAATAAAAAATGGGAGAAGTGGTGGGGAAATATGGGAGGGTTGTACGTTAAAGACCATGACCAGGAACCCCTGTAAAATTCTGTGAATGAAGTAAAATCCCTGTCTGGATGTCTCCTATATCTCCATATAAAGCTGTAGTCATTATTTCTAAACATAATGCATGCACATGTTTAGAAATAAAGTTATCTAAAGTGTTATCTTCTTTTTGGAGGTACATTTTTTGCAATTCATAAACTCCCTCCGCCCCCAACCCAGCATGTGTGATGAAAATACACGGCACCTTTTAACTAGTTAAGACTGCAATCTGGTACTCACTTAGCTGGACGTCCTATGCATGTCTATTCAGACGTAATTCCCATTGGGTTAATAGGATTTATATCTAAGTCAGTGTGAAGGATTTCAGCCCATGTTGCAGTGTTGCTCTCAGTTTCAATTCAGACCAGGAATCTAAAGGAGCCATTTTAGGGAAAAAATCCTGTACTTTTATTTATTTCTTCCTCCCATTTGCATCCTGTCTTTTCATGAAGTGCTCGAGGCACCACTCATGTCCCAGGCTCACTTTTTGCCCTTTAATTAATACACTGAGACTTAGAAGGGCAGCAATGAGGGGACTACCAAAGGTCAACAAGCATAAGGATGTTTCACTGGAGACCAAGACCAAGACCATCCACACTATTGTATTCCTGCTCATTATGCATGGGTGAGAAAGCTGGACAGTGAAGAAAGCTAACAAGAAGAAATTTGATATGTTTGAAACACGGTGCTGGAGGACAGCTTTGCAAATACCATAGACTGACAAAAATATGAACAAGTGGTGTTAGATCAAATCAAGCCAGAACGTTCCCTGGAAGTCAACATGACAAACATGACAAGTCAACAATACAACTCTTGTATTTCATGAGAGGGCAAGGTTCAATGGAGAAGACAAAAGGAAAGTTGAAGGTGAAAGAGGATGAAAGAACTGGACCTGTTCAGCCTTGAGAAAAGGTCACGTGATAGCACTCTGCAGGTACCTCAAAGACTGTTACAAAGAAGGAAAAGACCTACTCTCATTCATCCCAGGTTGTAGGACACAGTACAATTAACTTAAACTACAGTTACACCAGGAGCAGGCTAGACACAAGGAAGATTTTCCTAACTG